CGAGCAGTATAGCAGACGACTAATATTTACAGCAGACGATGTTTTCTTAATAAAATAAATGAAATTATTTTAATATTGAAATAATTTATATTATTCATTTAGTTATGTACTGTCAGGTGGAAAGGAGTTTTTTTTATCAAGATTCTATGGTAACCTTCCAAGTTTAGAGGTTACGAGTACGTCACCTGCGTTCTTGGGCCTACTGAACAATTTTTGCCAAGTTTGAGTGGAGTCCGTGGGCTTATATATAAATATAATTATTAAAAGGATGTCATTTATATTAATTTAGTTTAGTATAGAGGTAGAAAAGATTCGACCAAATTGAATCAAGATTTGATTTTACCCTCAAAGTTTTGCGGTTTTGTCAGCTACCTACCTAATGATTCATTTCCATGTGTCAGAGTGGAATTTTTTTAGCTCAAAAGGCGCCTGATAATAATTCTTTTAGTTTTTATTATGGTTAAAAGGATTTGATCACTCAAAATTTGATTTTACCATCAAAATTTGATAAGCATGCACTAAAAGTGCACAAAAATAAACTCCACTGATCTTTTTCTAAAAACAATTTTATTACATCTCTTAAGGTGAAAAAATCCTAAAAATTCATAACAATAATTTCTATTTTGAGATACATGTATATAACAACATGGAGCTATAAGTATCTGATAACAATACAGATAACAAGAGGGCCATGATGGCCCTGAAATAGCTCACCTGTGTATAGGCCCCCAAGGCGGGGACAATTTTAACCCAAGGGCTTTTATTTGAACAAACTTGGTAGACACCCATTAGAAGATGTTTCATGATTAATATCTAAGCTCTAGCTATTTCGGTTTTAAAAGAAGGTTTTTAAGTTTTTACTATATGCATATAGGGAAAATCAATGACCCCCAGGGACGTGGCCAATTTTGACCCCAGGGCTTTTATTTGAACAAACTTGGTAGACACAGACTAGAAGATGTTTCATGCCAAAGATTTAAGCTCTAGCACTCTTTCGGTTTTTTGAAAGAAGATTTTTTAAGTTTTTTTCTTTTGGTTGCCATGGCAACCAGAGTTCTGCATGGAATAAAATTCTTTGAACAATTTTGACTAGTTGACTACCAAAGGAACATTCCTGTGAAGTTTTGATGAAATTGGATCAGTGGCTTATGAGGAGATGTCGTTTATAGTAAAAGTTTACAGACGGACAGATGGACGGATGCCGCACGAAAAGCGATCACAAAAGCTCACCATATCACTTTGTGACAGGTGAGCTAAAAAACAACACAAGAATAAAAAACACTATACCAAAAACAGGTCAATTAAGCTTTAGAAATATCTATGGTCCCTTAAATAAAATAAAAACTAAGTAATGCATTTAACAAAGTAAGCAGAAATGAAACAACTAACTAAAGTCACTTAAATTTACAGTTCTATGGTTATAAAATAATTCTCCTGGACGCTTCCGTGAATGTCACCTAGTTTCAAGGACAATCCCGGAGGCGTCTGGGACATTATATGGCCTGTATGGTCAAACCCCATCAATAAATGGATTAGGAATGATTCATGCGGATTTCATAGAAGTATATAATAAAGTACATGTTATAATGGAAAAACAAATAATGCTAAACAATTTATTAATGGTATGCACCGCATTATCGTTTTGATTGCAACAAGAAAATCAAAACCATTTAGTTTCACTTTGCTTGATTCACAGTTTCTTTAATAAGGTCTCATAATTCTGACCTTCAAAATCTCAATTTACATAATGAGGCCCTGTAATTTTGATCTTATATGACTCTCTTTTTCCTTAATGTGGCCTAGTTATTTTGACCTTGTCTGAACCTCTGTTTCCTTAATGGGGCCTCATAATAAAAGCAAGAATGGATTTTGATGTGACTCACCTCATTTGGTTATATTTTATCTAGCAAATGTGTCCATAGGACACAGATTTCTACAGACATATGGACAGACCAGGACAAATTCAAAGCTTGGCTTTACAAATATAGGAGGTTAAGGGTCTGGCACTTAATGCATAACATTTTTTTCCTATACATATTATACACCATTTAAAGCTGCACCCCTCCAGATGAGGCAAAATAAATTTTGAAAAAAAATGTAGTAAAATGTTAAGAAAGGTAAAAACATTTAAGATCCAAGTTATATTTAGAATGTACGTGCTGTTTGAGACTGATTTTTCAGTATTTTATCACCCTATTTCTACTGTAAGGGCTGTTTTTGCATATGTTGACCAGTTTTTGGTAATTTCCATGGATTGTAAGTGCCGATTGCAATACATAAATTACTTTATTTGTTCATCTCACAATATTTTACTTTTAAATTCATTTCCAAATTTTTCATGAAAATTAACATGAATCTGTATTTTATTCTATATTATGATGCAATAGTTTAATGATTATCATAAGATACAACTGGTCATTGTTTATCATATAGAATGTCTTATGATACAATAGTTCATTGCTTGTCATAAAATTATCATGATTCAACAAATATTTTACTGACAATCATAAATTTTGATACAGTATTGTATTGTTCATCATGTACATGTATAACAATATAAAAATATACATACAAGAGCAAAAAACAAGTAATACTGTAATAAATAGAAATAAAATTACACATTTTGGTTTTTCATGAATAAACTTAGCTTTTAAAGATATAAACAATTTATTGTATCTATCATTGCTCTTAAACTTTTTTAAACTTTTTTTTTTTTGGAAACGACAGATTCTTGTAAATGCTAAAGATATGAAAATATGTTTAGAAAATGAATATTCAGACATTCTATAAATTTGAGTTCTGACCAAATTTGAAGCACATTTTTTATCTGATCTTGTTTTAGCTAAAATATACTGCCATACAAGTTTATAACATACATTGTATTGCCAGGCAGGCCTCTTTATAATCAGACTAGCATATATAATAGAGTCCTGAAAGTCTATATACTGGGCCGCTCATATATATATGACAAGGTGAGTCTATATATAGGACAAGGTAAGTCTATATATAGGACAAGGTGAGTCTATATATAGGACAAGGTGAGTCTATATATAGGACAAGCAGAGTCTATATATAGGCCAAGCAGAGTCTATATATAGGACAAGCAGAGTCTATATATAGGACAAGCAGAGTCTATATATAGGACAAGCAGAGTCTATATATAGGAGAGTCTATATATAGGACAAGCAGAGTCTATATATAGGACAAGCAGAGTCTATATATAGGACAAGCAGAGTCTATATATAGGACAAGCAGAGTCTATATATAGGACAAGCAGAGTCTATATATAGGACAAGCAGAGTCTATATATAGGACAAGCAGAGTCTATATATAGGACAAGCAGAGTCTATATATAGGACCAGCAGAGTCTATATATAGGACAAGCAGAGTCTATAAATAGGACAAGCAGAGTCTATATATAGGACAAGCAGAGTCTATATATAGGACAAGCAGAGTCTATATATATAGGACAAGGTAAGTCTATAAATAGGACAAGGCTAGTCTATATATAGGACAAGCATAGTCTATATATAGGACAAGGTAAGTCTATAAATAGGACAAGGCGAGTCTATATATAGGACAAGGTGAGTCTATATATAGGGCAAGGTGAGTCTATATATAGGACAAGCAGAGGTTATATATAGAACAAGCAGAGTCTATATATAGGACAAGCAGAGTCTATATATAGGACAAGCAGAGTCTATATATAGGGCCAGGTGAGTCTATATAAAGGGCCAGGTGAGTCTATATATAGGACAAGGTGAGTCTATATATAGGACAAGTAGAGTCTATATATAGGGCCAGTTGAGTCTATATAAAGGGCCAGGTGAGTCTATATATATATATAGGACAAAGTGAGACCATATATAGGGCCAAGTGAGTCTATATATAGGCCTAGGCAAGTCTATATATAGGGCCAAGGTGAGTCTATATATAGGTCAAGGCAAGTCTATATATATGGCCAGGGTGAGTCTATATATAGGGAAAAGTAGTGTATAGTTTCTATACAAATTTTTTACCACCTAAAATATAAAGAGTTTACAATAGAAATGGAAAAGAAAGCTTGTACATAAGGAGATGACTGAGATTCTAGAAAAAAAAAGTTGCACCAACAATGAAAAAAAAGGTTATATGGCCACTGTCCAAATGCATGACAAGATATCTGTATAGAATCATCAACCCATTCCTTAGATGTAAGAAAAAAACAACAACAAAAAACAAAAAAACAATCAAAATTTCTTCTAATGAACCTAAAAAAGATCTCAGCATGGCACAGTATAATAAATTACACTTGTTGACCTCAAATCAAAAGGTAGAAGTACATGCAAGGTACAAAAATAAAATATCTTAAATACAAATCAGTAAATGAGAAATGAGAAAGTCAATGTGACAGATGGATGAAATGAAGAACAAACAAGCCATTTTAAGCTTCATCTTTGAGAAACAGACTTAACAAAATTTGAGTATCTTGCAGAATCTCTATTTACATTTTAACATGATTAGATGCATCTAGTTCTTCATATCTGATTATTTTAGTTCCATTAACCCGTTAAAATGATTTAACTGAGACACATGATAGCCCAATTATGCGGCTGTAAAATTTTAGGTCATTCACAAAATCTATTTCCCTTAAATACTCATTAATATGATTCAAAATGACCTGAAAATGAAAAACATTTAATACAAGTACAATTTTTCCCTTTTAAGAGCCTCTGTGGGTCCTGTAAGATTATCAAGTTCCATTTTTTTTCAGGCTTTTACACTAGTGGAGCTCCTTTTCAATTTCACAACACGGAAATGTTTCACATTAATTTTCTACATGATTGAAAACAGTAAAACATCACACCGGTTCCAGTTTGACAAAATGTGAGATTGTATCACACCGGTTCCGGTTTTACAAAATGTGACATTGTATCACACCGGTTCCGGTTTAACAAAATGTGAGATTGTATCACACTGGTTCCGGTTTAAGAAAAATTTGAGATTGTATCACACCGGTTCCGGTTTAACAAAATGTGAGATACATGTAGTATCACACCGGTTCCGGTTTCAGCTTCTGTAAGACTAGTTCCATTCGAGACTTGGCAAGTTTTACAATATCTTCCGAAAGTTCTTCTATACTTGTATATCTGGCCTTCTCAAAACTGAACATATCCCGAATAAAACCTAACACTATATCCTACAATAGAAATGAAAACAGAAATCATTATGATCATCGCAGATACAAATGCAGGTAAAAATCTTGTGAAAATAAAAACATATAGCAAAAATGAACTTAACTAAAGCTGCGCCATTCTACAACTGTAACAGTGTATTAGACTATTCTCAATTATTCCTATTATAGTAAAACAAGAGCCTTGACTTAGTACATATTCTCCAAATTCACAAAGGGAATAATACAGGGTCTTGGTTTGTGCCGTAGCATTATCAATCTTAAAGAAATGTGTGATATTTCAAGTGAAAAACTCCAGCGGCTAATAAGATACTAATTTTAGTTCCAATGAGACTTAACCTAGTGTTATTCTAACACCAAAATCTTGAGAAGTTTGATAACTCCACTATTCTTAAAAAACAGTTAATCTAATATCTACCAGTGACAGTAGCCATGAATTTATAAAAATACAGTGCAATCTCTGCAATATGACCCTCTGTAGAACAATCACCTCTTTACAACAACATTAGCTTAGTTACTACTCCCCTTGCAGGGTTTTAATTATTAACTGATTGGCGATCCAAACCATTGGTTAAAATCGGTTGTATTTTCAGCTTGTATATTAAAGTATCACCCTTGAACCTAGACAAAATCAGTTCTTTTCTTTTGAGTATTTGTTGCCTCAGATAAAAATGAAAACCCTGCCTTTGCTTCCTTAATTAACAACAAACAGTTTCCTGTTCAAAACAAAAATTAACCTACAAAAAAGGCTACAAGAAATAAGCTTAGAAATAAATAGAGAAATGGTATTTAATAAATATATACATTTGTATATTTTGTATTTATTCGTTTTGAATATCTTGTCTATATTTTGTATATAGGAAACAAGTACATGTATATGATATGTAGGGAAATTAAACATACCTTGAAATATGAGCAAATATCTTTTAGTTTTGATTCTGGTCCTAGAAATCCCCATGCTAACACAGGACTTACAGACTCCGAGATGTTGTAAAAATGAGATATAAAGCCATTGGGGTACTGAAAAATATGTTGCATGTAGTAATATAACTGATGGTAAATAATAACTCTTTTAAAGATAGACTATGTTCATCCTTCATTGTTCCTTGAGTAAGATATTTTACTCACAGAAATTCATTGAAATCTCTGAAATTTTTACTAAATATGTCTAATTTGAATAAAAGAATGAATGACCTATGTATGGGAAGCTGCGTTTCCTGTTACGGAACAAGTAAGATTGGTACTTTCTTTGAAAAAACTGCCAGTTTTTAAATGACACTATATATTTATACTGTGACCACCTATAGTGTGAAGAATTTTAAAGATAACATATCTTCTTTGTGTGAAGTCAAAACGTGTTTATTTTATATATTTTCAAAGAGACTGTGTTGGAATTATCAATAATTTATAATATTTGAGCATAGCATCTTTAATGTAGGTAGAAAGAAGTACTTGTCTATACCATCAATGTAGTGCCAGACTAATATGGCTGTTAATACCAGACTCTATACTGTTGACTAAACAACTCTCTCATACTTAAACCCTTTAATCTTGCAATGGACAATCCCAAATTAAACAAGAACTGTCAGAGGACAGTAATGCTCGACTATTCGAAAAGTTGTCACAAGTGTGTTTCATTAAGTATAATAATGCTTACCTGTAGGAATACATAAAATTGTCCCAAAAAGTACAAAGGCATGTTATTAAGATGTTTTATCGAGTGAATCACTGCTTTGTTATTATGAATGCATAAAATTGTTCCAAAAAATGCACAAACCTTTCAGTAGTTATGGAGATACCAGCTTACAAGCAAAAACTTTACCAAGAATTTCTTAGCCGAAAAAGGTGCATAATTATGAAAAAAAAAATCAGAATTATGGGACTTGTGCAAATCATGTTAAATAATCACAGAGAACAAGTGTGTGAAGTTTCAATCCATTCCCTTCAGTAGTTATGGAGATACCAGCTTGCATGCAAAAACTTAACCAAGAATTTCTAAGTCGAAAAAGGTGCATAATTATGAAAAAAAGCAAATCAGAGTTATGGGACTTGTGCCAATCATGTTAGATAATCACAGAGAACAAGTGTGTGAAGTTTCAATCCATTCCCTTCAGTAGTTATGGAGATACCAGCTTGCACGCAAAAACTTAAACCAAGAATTTCCAAGTCAAAAAAGGGGCATAATTGTGCAAAAAAGCAAATCAGAGTTATGGGACTTGTGCCAATCATGTTAGATAATCACAGAGAACAAGTGTGTGAAGTTTCAATCCATTCCCTTCAGTAGATGTGGAGGTACCAGCTTGCATGCAAAAACTTAACCAAAGGGACGCCGACACCGACAAATGGGTGACTGCATTAGCTCAATTATTCTGCGAATAGTGGAGCTAAAAAGGGGCATGTCCAGTACACAAATTTATTGAGATAAGCTTAAAATACAGTCGTACTTCCTTTACAAACATTTTAAAATGTTTAACATAAAGATGCAAAGGCATCTGAAAAAAAAATCCCGCCCTGTGTGGTGGGTTTGAGTTCGTAACCAGTGGCTAAAAGGCAAATAAATAGAACACTGTAGACCTCTGAGCAATAGAAAAAGATTCCCTAGGTAGTATTTATAGTAATCGAGGAAGTGCATTAAACTTAACACTACACATAATGCTAATAAATATATCAGATTAATAGAGAAAAATAATGAAAAATGGTTGTAACTCTACCTTAAGCATTCTTCTCTTTGCTTTTAATACTGACCATACAGCTGTCGATAATGCCTGAAAACCAAAATTTAATGATAAATAACCTTCTTTAAAAAAAGGGGGAAACAATCTCATTATTAAATAACCAAAAGTAGCTCGTTGTTCCTAAAACATGTTGAAACTATCCAATATCTATCATGGGATACATACAGATACATGTATATGTCATGTACACAAATATTTTTAAAATAGTCTGATCAATAATTTAACTTTAATATTTGCGTTTACAAATACATAGAATGACATAATGGAACATTAAAACACATACCATACTGTCATCTGAATGAAATAATTATTTTCTTGTCACTCTTTTTCCAACTTATTTGAACACTAGTACGAAATTAACAGACTAGCTAGAAATGTATTCCTACTGCAGCTAGCTTAGAAGACTTTTTTTATTTTATTTTAGTTTAAATTTACGTCTCATCAACACAGTATAGGTCACGTGGTGAATTTACAGCTTCACTGGTGGAGGAAGACCACAGATGCTGCTCTGAGCATTATTTCCGTCATAAACTGGCACCTGAGTAGAACCACTGACGCCTTGTATGCTAGCGGGATAGCTTTCTATCATGAAAAAATCTAAAGACCCTTGCAAGGCTTGAACCTATTGTGGTGAGAGGCCAGTGGTCTGAAGACAATGACCTTGTAATTTTATTTCTGTCTTTACAGAAACATATTTACTTCCTCGCAAACTTTCATAAACAAAAACATCTGAACGGGAATTGTACTTGTAAAGTTGGGAATAAAATTTCTATCTAAATACAGGAGGAAACAAGGCAAATATTGTTTTAAAAAAACCCAAATGGTTTAACAATACTATACATGACCAATTGGTACTTACAGTTTCTTTAAAGCCATTTGACAACCATCTATTGTTACATACGGCTATTACGGAAGATGGCGGGTTTTCTAGATCATCAAAAGCATCCATTAATATAAAATCCAGCACAACATCATAAAATGTAAAATTCTTAACCTGTAATGAAAGCCACAGTCATATTAAAGCATATATTTCATTAAATAATTGTAAATTTTCTAAACCATAAACCTTCTATATTTTTATGCGGGACTTGCCCTGTTTAGAACTTGGAACAGTTCAATAGAAGTTTAAGAGTTTTAGTAACAAAACTATCAACCAACAATATTGAATTTGTTTTTCATTTAATCACATACAAAAGTTGAACTTCTCCCAGAATAAAAATAACTTTATTAAAACAACAACAAAAAAACAACATTCTTGAAAACTTGTTACACTTTATTAAAACAACAACAAAAAAACAACATTCTTGAAAACTTGTTACACTTACTCACAATCCAAATGTATAACCCGCTCATTTTCACTCGAACCTCTGATTTCCAGTTAAATATTTCTTAATATAACTTATCCCATACCACCTCCCTTCATTCGTTTTCATTCAACTCCAGCCACTCTCATCAAATTAATCATATTTCCTACATTATGCAAGTCTATAACTTACCCCACGCCCCCTCAATTCATCTTCCATTTTACTCCAGTTCTCTTCAGTGTTCACATAGTCCATCATGGATGAGTATGAGGCATAAAAATCTTCAGGATCCTGAAAATGTAACACAATTTTTCTGACCATTCTAAAAAAGGTATATTCAGAGTGAAATCAATGTGTACCTTTCTACATACTGAGCTATTACTACGCATAAATGTAGTTATGAATTATTTTGACAGGTTATATGACCCAGTATAAACTGTTGTCAGCTAATATTACCCCAATCTGCTAAGTGAAGGTTATATAGTAAATATGTGATTAAATAAGGTCATTTAATCCTTCGTAGCAAATTTATCATACTAAAGAAAACTCAAAATTGATTCATAAAATTATATTTGTAGTGTTATACTTATAATATAAACATCTTAAGTATCCAATGAAAATTGCCATTACAAATGTTCAAAGTCATAGAAAAAACATACATGTCGCACTTAAAACCAGTGAGAGATTAAATGGTGTACAAAAGAACTGTTGTAAATTGATTTTTATAATAAGAACATATACTATTCAAACTGTCAGTATTAGTCTATAACTGCATACTTCGGAAAAACTAAGAGTTGAGGTAGCTTATTTTTCAGAGATGTGTAATATTTTTAGCGCCCTCACAAGTCACAACTATGACACCGACCCTACGTCCTACACATACACACACGCATGCAGGCACACACATAAAAAAATATACACGCGCACAATCACTTCAAGAAGATGAAAAAATCTCCGAGCCAAAGAAAAGTTGTCAATGTACATGTAAAATATGCAGAATTCATTAGAAACACTGCTGTGAATTCCTGTATTCTACATGCTTGCTAAATTTCCATTTCTGCTCTGTTTTTTTGTCTGTTGACAGAAATTCTAGTCTAATTTACATACCCTGTCTGCCTGCAACAGAAGATCTCCAATTATCTTCTTACCCATTGTTATAAAATAATCTCGATTTTCAACATCTCTAAAAACATCCTGAAAAGAATCAGAGTTGCAATAATTATAATTAGCATTCAATGAATGTCAAACTAATGCCAGGATTTCATAAAAAACATAATGAAAGTTTTATAATAGAATTTATTAAAACTTTGCATGATCCAGGGTCTTTAAAATAGAATGATCTGGAAACGCGCTATGTAAAACCTTCCCGCTACAATAAAACTTGTCTTGGTATAACTCTGTATAATTTACTCTATGCAAATTATGTAACTGTTAAACAAAAGGGCGAAAATTTAATACAAGAGCAAAAATGAAAATTCTAACAACATGATGTTTGTTAAAAATCTTTAAACTTGGGAAAAAAAGACATTGATTGCTTGTTCAGATCAGAATATTTGCCAATAAACGGCGCCATTTTGAAAATACAACAAATTTAACATCAAATATTTGTAAATAACATTTTGAAACATTATAAAATCTTTATTCTTTAAATTTAAAAAAAACTTATGAAATTTGGACCTATTTTCAAATAAATATCCCATGACTCAGCCGGGACATCTTTTTTCATAACATTGGTCCTACTCCAGACCATTCTATTTGAAAGACCCTGCATGATCTAAGTATATGATACCAGAAACATGTTGAACAAGAATAATTTGAAGAATAGTTTTCTACCTACTGGCTTTATTCTGTGCTATATTGTGTTATTGCACATTTTAAATTAATTTTTAATGGGGGAAATTTTAAAAATTAAAAAGTTTATGCTTTTTTCCAAAAAATTTTATATTGTATTAAAATGTCATGCTTTAAAAATTTATGAAAAAAATGTTTAAACAATTTGGGAGTCATCACACTGTATATGCCTACATTGTTATGAACCTTACATTTTGTTTAAAACGTTTTTTCCCACTGGGTTTTTTTTCTTATTGTGTTATTTCACATACATGTAATTTGCAAAAAATTTATTTTTATTTTTTAGTGTATTTATCCATTGAACAAAACTCATAAAAAATCTTATCTTGTTTGCACCTGCAGTGGAAATGCCCTGAAGCCCATGAAATCAGTTTTAGAACCATTAAATATATAAATCCATGAAAAAAACAGACTCTGTTTTCCCGGCAGCTAATTTAAGTAATGATAAAAATTTGTTGGTTAACACCTTTTTATCAATTAACAGTATCTTGATAATGAATTTATTTAAATAAAACAACAGTGACGAAATTTAGAGTTTTTGCAGGTTGATTTTACAACTGAATTGCCATTACTGATATACGTTTTTTGCTTGTTTGGGTTTTATGTCACCCAACACCAGTATAAAGTAAAAGTTCCCGCTTTACTGGTGGGGAAGACCTCGATATTCTCTCTGTGCATTATTTCAGGCAAAAAAAAAGCACCTGAGTAAAACCACCAACGTTTTGTAAGCTAGCTGTATAGCTTTTTTATATATAAAGAAATAAAAGAATCTGAAGAAACTGGTGCGGCTCAAAACTACAGCAGTGACAAGCAAGGGGTTTGAAGTCAACGACCTTAACCACTCGGCCACAGATGCCCCTGTTAAGGGATATACATGAGCTTGCAACAGTTATTACCAGCAGATAAAATGGGAAGTTTACCTCTAGAGCAAGTCGTATACAATGAAGTTTAGCAAGAAATTCTGTATCTGACATACAATGAGACATCTCTGTCCTGAAAAATACATACATTATTCAAGTATAAAAACAAGATTTATTTTCATCAAGTGGTATGAAAATATATATTTCATAAGTGGCCATAGCCACGAGTGAAAAAATGATAATTTTCATATCACAAGATGAAAATAAGTCCTGTATTAATAGAAAAAACTTGAAATTTTCTCTTTATTATATACTTTTCCTTCTTTTTTTTAAACCTTATTAATAGGTAAGAATTCCCTTTTACTTTTGTGTATTGGCTTTATTTAGCAGAAAGTAGTCTGGCAAGACACCAGTGAAAATAAGGAAAATATGTTTCACTGCAGTGGAAAATAAATTTTTAATTTAATATTCTATTTATCACATACCAAAAAATAAAGACCTTTTGAAGTGAAAATGAACATTTTTCATTCACGCGCATATAGTATAATGCTAACATTTAGCATGTCTTAACTCTATGTTTATATAGCGTAAATGACGTCACATCAAAACGTATGCACGGCTGTGCAATACTATTTTTACGGAGTCGCAAAAGCTGCACAAGTGTGTGATATACAATACAATTCAATTCAATTTGCAATTTTGCATCAAAATATATCCAAGAATATGGTTTATGGGAAAAAAATCAGGTCAGGTCAATGTATTAATGTAATTATACACATAAATCATTAAATGTTGTTTTTCTGGGGGTTTTTTTATGCCAATTTTAACACAATATTGTTCATACCAAATTTTCATCAAGTAACTGACAACCAATTCAACATGATTTCCAAATCAGCATTGTGAGACAAATAGCCATGGTACCCATGCTTACATATTGATAATTGTTATGAAAATTGTACATATAAGAGCACTTTTATGAAATAAATCTGAGATCAAGAGCGAAGTGACGGAATAATGAACATCTAAAGTTTTCCATATTGGCATCAAATGTTAAAGCATGGCCATGCAAACTGTGTGTTTTAATTTAATATAGAGTGTACCTGAGAGTTCTGCATGAAATAGTTCCATGTTTAAGCTCCAACAACCCTGTCTCATACAGTACAAGATGTTTAAACATTTCTCTGTGAGTATCTAAATCTGATAAATCAGCGAGCTAAAAATAGAACAGTATCTGTGTACATATGTAATTGATCAACCATCATACTGGCACTTTATCATACTTGGTTTTTATTCTTTGAAAGATATTGGCCAGGTCTAACAGCCCTTTGCATTTGGGAAATACAATTTAAATTTTTTCAAATATGGCATAAAAGAGCCCAGCATATGGCATCTACAGGCAAAAATTTCATGATAAGGAAAAGATTGTTCAAAGGTAAATATTTACTGTAAAGCTGCTGTCATAATCAAAACAAACGGCATTCTTATGACTGTGCAAAAGTTAACTTTTACTCTTTATTACACAAAGTATTAATACAAAATCATTATCATGTCTGTGAAAAGCACACCCCATTGTTCTCAGTGTTGGATAGAACTATTGAAGCAAATCAAGGTAGGTGCATAAATGGCAAAAAATATTAAGTAGTTTTAGGAGTACCTGCTCTTTGAAATTATGTCCCATTTTCATAGTGTACCAAGTTTATAATGAAAAGCTTTGATAGTTTTTGTAAGCAAAAAGGTTAACCAATTCAGATGCTAGCAAGATGGTCATGACAAGGGCTACTATTTTCATTCAAAAAGTGGACTAAAAATACTGATCAGATCTGACAAAAGAACTTATTTAAGAGAAACTATCAAGACCAGGCTCCAATGTTAAAAAGAATCTTTCTTAGCTCAAACTCAGATCTCAGGTATTAGATTGGTCAGAAACCCGTTCAGATTTTATATTGACCAATGAAAATCCTGACACTTAAGACAGAGCTGTGAAGAACGTTTTATAACGATTAATCTCCAGGCAAGGATAGGACTTACATCTGTAGCTGATACAAATGAGTCAAGGTCACTTGAAGATCCTATACTCATACTTCTATTTTTAGCCATGTTTTCGGTTTCAGTAAATGCTGCCATTGCTGTATCGAAAGCCACGTAGTCTGCCTCTTTCTCCATCTGTCTCTCGTACGAGTCCTGCATGTGATACGCCATCTCCAACAGACGTTCTAAATGATGCTGTAATGCACTGGTCTCTGGATCCTGTAACACATATACCGTTCATTTAGTAAAAAAAAAACTGTACTCTTAGTAAAAAAAAATACCGTACATTTAATAGAAAAATAATACTGTACATTTAGTAAAAAAAGTACTGTACATTTAGTAAAAAAAAACAAAAAACGTACATACAGTAAAAGAAATACCGTTCATTTAGTGAAAAAATGTTTTGACAGGCTATTAAACTACAGTGTAACTCCGCCACAACCGCGCTCTGTAGATCCAATTACCTCTTGACTTCAAAAGTCTTCCCAAAGTATACGTACAGTATGTGTAAAACTTCAATACAAATTAAACTAAAGAAATTCACCTCCATTTTCATACCCTTTTATGACAGTTTTTCTACCCTGTTACAAACAGTCTGTTTTTCTGATTTTAACACTTTGAACATTTCTATGGTCATATCTTGCCAATTGATCCAACTTACCAGCTTCCCAGAATAACTAATCAGTAATTACCAGTTTCTCAGCAACTGACTGACTACTTATCCCAAATGAAGCAGCCGTGTGAGACTTACTGAAATACTTAGATTGAAACTACATAGAATTGTTTTTACAACAGGAAATAAAAAGCAGAGGGCCGCTTTAAACTTTAAATAAACAGTACAGTTCCAAATTCAAAACAGGCCGAAATTCATTACACAAATTCAGCAGAATGTGCACTAACATGTGACTATAATATAACCATGGCATTAAAATGTGGCTATAATATAGCTATGGCATTAAAATGTGGCTATTATATAACCATGGCATTAAAATGTGGCTATAATAATAACCATGGCATTAAAATGTGGCTATAATATAACCATGGCATTAAAATGTGGCTTTAATATAACCATGGCATTAAAATGTGGCTATTATATAACCATGGCATAAAAATGTGGCTATAATATAACCATGGCATTAAAATGTGGCTATTATATAACCATGGCATAAAAATGTGGCTATAATATAACCATGGCATTAAAATGTGGCTATAATATAACCATGGCATTAAAATGTGACTATAATATAACCATGGCATTAAAATGTGGCTATAATATAACCAAGGCATTAAAATGTGGCTATAATATAACCATTGCATTAAAATGTGGCTATAATATAGCTATGGCATTAAAATGTGGCTATTATATAACCATGGCATTAGAATGTGGCTATAATATAACCATGGAATTAAAATGTGACTATAATATAACCATGGCATTAAAATGTGGCTATAATATAACCAAAACATTAAAATGTGGCTATTATATTACCATGACATTAAAATGTGGCTATAATATAACCGAAACATTAAAAATGTGACTACAATATAACCAAAACATTAAAATGTGGCTATAATATAATCTAAACATTAAAGTGATTATGCTCATATTTTCATAGTCATATTGAACTGAATTGACTTTATTTTTCAAAAGATTGACTGTCAAAATGGTGTTTGACAAACAGTTGATATTGGAAAATGTTTAGGATAAAATTATAAATCTGCCAAAAATTTAAAAAGACTGCCCCACTCTTTTTATAAACTAAGTGTTATAGGTAAATTCTAATGGATGTTTACAGAAATTTCATTTTGATCTGTGTGTTATTTATTGTTTATGCGAACTTAATTATTAAATTGAAAGGATTAATGGCAAAATGAAATCTTATTTTGATCTTCATCCGTTCACTCACTATATACCCTTGGATGGGCATAATGTCACTTTAAAATGTGGCTATAATATAACCATGGCATTAAAATGTGTCTATAATACAACCATGGCATTAAAATTTGGTTATAATATAACCAAGGGTACTTACAGTTATAGCTGGGAGGAGATTATCATCTAAATATCCCATCTTCATCACTGCATCCTCCCAGTATGTGATTGCAATTTGTAAGGTATCTAATCCTGTTACCATGGAAACAAAGAATTATACCTAATTTTTATGCAATCTATATTGGCGTCTACATATACTTTATATCAAACAAATTTATATTTTAAGTCACATAATTATGTAATACATGGTATCCTTATGAGTGTACTTTTTTATGTATGTATATAAAAATTGCATTTAAAGTATCTGTTTCATTACCAGTGGCGTACCTACCGATACGACAAATACGCACGGGCGTATGAAAAGAAAAAAAAAGAAAATTTCAAATCGGACATAGATCGATCAACATATTTGTAGCTCCTAATTGATTCTTTAGGTATGCTGAGGATGTTTGCTAATTCGAATATGTGTTACCTATTTTGATAGTGTGTGTATACACAATTTTAGTGAGAATTGATCTATCGTTGTTTTAGTCTGGAATCCCTGTAATAAAAGTTTTTATGGAGGTATCATTTAAATTATCTTAAGATTTTAATTTATAACATCCTACTGTATGCGGATTCTATTAAGGACTCCGAAAACAAAAATGTTCGGCCTTTCTACAGAGCCACGGAATGACGTACACAATGTAAAAAAAATATGATATGAATAATTTTTTGGAAATTTCTCTTTCTGCAGATTGAGTTATCAAAATAATCAATGTTATAATGCAAATTAACTCAAATAATGATAATAAAAAGTCAAATTCATTTACAAACATCTTTCCCGCAGAATCAAAATCAATGAAAACTGAACATTTATTTCATTATTTTACATTTATATGCAAAATTAAGTCTTGTCTGCAACTTGACATCTGTAGAACAATGGAAGGGAGTAGACCATATGTAATTCTTTTTTATATTTAACCTTATAGTTATAAGTTATTATATCATTTCTAAGTTAGTAACATTCTTTCATCTTATATCAATTTTATTCAAAACCATTGCCCACATCTATCGTCCCAAACCATAGTCAACTTGAATTTATTTGACCTAAAAAATATTAATATATTAAGTTATTTCTACCGTCTTATTTTATTGACTATAGAAATAAATTGCAGTCTACTGTAAACAATTATATATAGTCTCATCTATACATATTGAAGCACAAGTTGTACAGTACGTTATTATGACGTTAACGTCAATAACATTTGGAGTGCGCCGCTGTTTATGTAGAATTAAATATTGTTGTCATATAAGAAGCTACTAACATGAGTTTTTCAGTGTTTATTTGTTATTTATTCTTCTAAGCAATGTAAGAATCTCAAATGTATTTTACGCAACAATGAAAGTCCACGAATTTTTGGATAACCCCCCGTACATAGTCTCATCTATACATATTAAACATAGATAAATATACAATGAGAACAACGTATACCTATATAAGAAATAATAAGACACGTCAAGTCCAGATTCTTTTATTTTCACCGACTTCTGATTATATACCAACATGCTTTTATGTGTGTTAGTCATTTAACAATGTACTGAACTAATTTAAACATTTCGGATGAAAATTGAAACAAAATAGTTGAAAAAAAAATTGTTAAAGATAAAAATTATTTTCTTTAACATTGACATAATGCGCATTTGGAAATACTTTTAAAGGACTTAAATGATCGCGCGATACTACAATTTAGATGTGAATACGATAACCTATTGTTACACAAAAACATTTAAGCTATTGTGTTTGTATTATCGTTATACAGATCATTTTAAATAATATTTTCCTTGATTATATCTCATGTTACGGTATGGTGAAACAAAAGAAAAATAACAAGGAAAAAGACTTCTTAGACCCATCTTCATAACAATAGAGACACCTGGCTATGTTTAGTTTTTTTTCTGATACACGGTAGTTAATAACTTTTTTATGAATCAAAGAATCACGTTCAGTTATAGTGAAACAAAAGAAAATAACAAAGAAAAACTAAACTTGTTACAAAAGGAAATAAAACCCATCTTTTTTACAAGAGAGACACCTGGCTATGTTTTGTTTTTCTCAAAGCAAATATTTTTGAACTATTTAAAACAGTGTACACGTTACACTTCGTGTTATAAATTTCTATTACATTCAATTTATGTACTATTTTCATAACTATAGATAAAGACAATAGTAGTACAATTAGCTAAAATATCCCCTAAATCCTTAGTTATAGCACATAGCTATATTTGATATACATGTATAAGTCTCTGGCGATCCTTCGGCCGAAAACCGGCACTCGGCGTACAATCGCAACTATTCGGCCTTTTCCGTCAGTCTTCGGATAAGGACCTTGAACACAATAGTATGAATACACAGAACGGATGCGGTATTTCGGTCTAACCTACGCTAAGAAACTAAATATGTAGACAAATAGTAATTTAATGCTGGGAGTTGTTGACAAGTTTATTTCCAATAAATGTAGTAAATGTCCACCTAAATAAAGTGAATTCATAGGTACAAAAGCAAACAATACATTATTTATATATTTATTTTTATGGCTGTTGAAACCGAAAGTACAAAAAAACAACCTAAAGATTAGTAGGATTTGTTTAAAGTTGAACATGAGTGGGCATATTTAAATTACAAATTGTTGTCACACATATTTTCAAGCATAGGTGTAACGGAACAGAAATAAGATGTCAAATATATACATTCGTTTTATAATATCTCTGTTTACATCTGAAACCACGTGGTAGAACTACTTTTAATCCGTATTGTTTCCGAGGTTATTATAGACACGGATTTAAATCACAATTTAATTCCGTGTTATAGATACTAGCCGAGGCAGTTCCGAATGCTCGGCGTACACTCATAATAAGCAGAGGTACGCCCCTGATTACCATAAAAATCATAAATATTATTGAAACAACAAAACATTCATCATCAACCATTAGTTGCAAGTATGATACTTGTAATTTTATTCTTTATTTATGAACTAAACTTAAAATCAAGTGAGAAAAATAAACTTAGCTTTGTAAACACCAAATTTTACTTGTGGTGGCTGTGGTCCGGTACAGAACAGGGTAACCTCTCTGAGTACTGGGGAGTTTGCTTCATAAAGGGTTGCTTTATCTTCATATATGACTTATTAGTTCCCAAAAGTTTTATAATAAGCATTTCTACATGTCTAAGTATTGACTGTGCTACTATTGTAATGATCATATTTACGTTAAAATCGTCTTGATAAATGACCGAGAGAACAAGAGACTTTTACCTAACTGACATAACTGCTGTGAGGTCATGTCCGACGTATCAACAGCTGTAGGATGTATTATAGTTGAAGTAGTACTAACTGAGACAGCGCCAAGACTCCCTGTAGACCCTGACAGTGATTTCTGACGTAATAATGACCTTATTGAACTTGGGCTTCTACTCCTATATGGCAGGTCTGAAAACATAAAGCATATTTTATTAATTTTAATTACACCATTTTAATTTATTGTTAATCTTTTAAAATCTAAGCCCTTTCCCAGCCTGTTAGATTGGTATACCCATTTCACTAAAAATGATGAAGATTGTAAAAAAAACTCTGTTTGACTACAAGATGATTTTTTCTTTCTATGAGTAAATTAGAAACATTATCTGGTATATTTGGTATTTTTTTTTTAAACAGAAATTGGATGACATCAACGTAAATGAAAATTACACCCAATTGTTCTTCTAGAACTTGTACAGTGGTATGAAGTTACAGAAATATATTTTAAAGGGCATTTTCATTCCCTCATAAGGTCCAATTCCAAATGTACATTTTTATAGTATTAAAATGTCTCAAAATTACTGATATGCTGCATTTTATTCCCCCCCAATTTAAGCCCACCTGAGAGCCTTTCCCCAAAATAATTGGAACAGCCCATGTGCTACATTATAAGTGTTATTCTTTACCTCCATTTGGACTATTTGGTAAAGGAATTCTACCAGTTCTCTCCCTTCCCCTTGCCAATTCTGATCTCTTTTTATCTTTCTCGTTCTTCTCTTTATCATGTTTGTTACGTCTAAGAATTGCAACTATAAGCCCTATGAGTGCAAAACTTGCAGATACGCCAAGGGCAGTAACTCTGGTCTTGAAGGGAATCTGGAGAAGTTTTGATGACAGTGAAGAAATGCTGGGTAATCTGATATCCATTTTAATATCAGATTTTTATATATTTTCTAATTTACAGTGTCTCAGCATGTTGCTTCCTGAAATATATATAAACAATTACCAGTAATAATAAAAATTCTAACACCCCTTGTGATTAAAAATTGCGACTATACACAAAGAAGAAAAAAACAGTGTTAAACTGCCAAATTGAATACACACTGGTTAGGGACTAAATGTACATGCAGCTGTTATTTTTTCTCCCTTCGATCCGCTAGTTTGGCCACGTGGTTAAGAACATTATTGACTTCAAACCACTTTCCTTTCCTAATCCCTCAAGGGACATATGACTTAATCAGTTTCATGTGAGGTAACTGTCCAGCTAGTTTAAAAGGAATTATCAGTGGACTGGTTGTTTTTCTTCTCCATACCACGTCACTGGGAAGGCACACGGCAGGTCAAGTTGTCTCAAGTACCAGAGATGATAGGTTGACCTGTCCTGAATAACTTGGTGCTAACAAGAGCAGTAGCACAAGAGCAGTTTTATGTTTGCTGCCGTCACGGATCATGGTGCCTTGCCAGTATTGCTTTCTCCAATGAACAGAGATAAGGTTAAGGAAGATCTGCATGAAAAAGACCTCCTCAATGAGACTCTAGAGTAGAACGACATGAATGCTGAGAATTCTCAAACATATGGAATTTACGGCGCTGAGGTAAAATATTAAAACTGAAAAAAAATCTGGACTGGTTCTACTCAGAACTCTGCTTATGCCAAAATAATGCATGTAGATAGTGATACAGCCAAGATCTTTCTTGACCAATAGAAAAGTTACTAATTACTTTTGCAATGTTGGTGCGCTTAAATTTTAAAAATGTGACCCAGAACAAATAATTAAAATGAAACTAAAAAATAGAAAATCTATGCACATGATGCATGTTTTTGACAAGCGGGCAAAGCCAAGATCGGTGATATAATTATTGATACGGTGCATCTACTCGGCGGTCCTAAATAATAAGTAATTAAAAAACAAAGCACTTATATCGGCAAATATATTTAACATACTCTTGAAAGTCACTTTACCTGTATCCAAAATAAATTTTCGATTTTTTTTTCGTCCTGATAAAACAAACCCCTTAAAACCCCTTAAAATTTTGTGCACCCGGGCTTTCTGATACGATGTAAAAAACAGAGGGGGGTTTAGGTTTGTAAATTTTGGGTGCTTTTCGGGGTTTCTCCCACCCGGCAAAAAAAGTTTTACTTCCCCATGGGCCCTACCGTTTGGTACCTTTGGTACCCCAATGGCCCCTTTGGGGTACCCAAACTTACTTTTAAAACAAAAATGGGGTATTTTTTGGTAAAAAAAAAAGGGGCGTATGATCAACACCACAGAGCGAGGCGGGTTATTCCTGCTATGATAATGCTCCAAAAACAAAACTATGAGCATGTATTGAGTATTGGTCAGGTCGGATATCCGGGCACTTTACTGAAGAGCGTTGCCTAGCAATAAGCCGAGGTGAAAACATACGCCATTTTGTATTTAGCGACAGTCGTTGTTTTTTGCTGCATTTTGTAGAATTGAACGAATAATTGAATATTTTTCGCCATGCCAGCGATTTGAAGTGTTGCTGGATGCAATATTCATTTGGAAGAAAGAAAAATATAATAAAATACTTTACCAGATGTGATTAGAAACAAGGATTTGTCGATACGGCGATAGAGAAGTGGATTTGGCGTGATGCTCAAATGGTTGCCTTCTTCCAAATACACATATATATATACATTTACTGTCAGCATTTCGTTATGTATTGAAATTCATTCATTAAATTTACATAATATAAAAATATGACCGCACACAACTGTTCATTAAAACTATTTTTCTAGTTAATCAATAGCATTATGCAATGATCATGACGTTTATGTCACTCACGAAATTACTAGGTTATTACTACGAATTATATGGCATTTTCGTAATTCAAATAATTGATTAAATGCTTTTTAAGTGGAGTTTATAATGATTATATATATAGCATCTCTACTGCATATTAAATAATCGAATGTTTTATTAACAATGATCGAAATAATAAATTTAATACTTATATGCACTATCCGAATTCGGCCCTGTCCTAGAGTCAACACTTTTTCTGTCAGTATAACATTCTCGTCACATTAACCTCATATGTTAGATAATTTTTTAGAAATCAAAGAAAATTGAAAAGTATATTAAAAATATTAGGCATAAAGTATGGATGAATGTATTTCAAAGTAGATGCTACTTATTATAGTTTGACAAAATCTCTATTAAATACTTAGACAAAATATCTATTAAAGCTATTAAAAAATATTTGTATCATCCTGAATTAATGACTTTTATTTTTCTTACAGGGGAACCGATTAAGTACTGATCAAACCAGTTCCAACCAGTTTCAAATGGACAGTAAACCACTTTTATAAAATACTTAATTGGCACCCTAGCTGTGTATTAATTAGTCAGATTACCACTAGTATCTTTTTCAAATACAATAAACCACCCCTAGGGCATCATGTGACATTCCGGAGGGCTTAATTGGACCACATGTTTATTACTTATTTGCTAATTGTGATTATCTGAACTGATTAAGAGATAAAAGATATGTTTTTAATAATAACAAATCCTTTGTCTTTACTGGAGCTTCGTGTTGTGAAATGAAATGTAATACAGGTCTCTGTTGTAGGGTAAAAATGGCAACATATGAAATAAGAACACAAAATTAATGTATATATATTTTCATTACTTATTTTTCTTTTATTGTCAATCCTCGTAAAAAAGTACAACAGTATGATACTTTTTTCTCCATACTTGAACTGTAATCCTAGCCTCGATAAGAAATTAAAATCTAAATCACAGTTCTTTGTGCCAGATATGTGCTTGTAAGATTGATTATATATCAATCATAAATACATGAGGGTAAAATAAATTATAATAATTGAAACACATTAGTTCATGAGCATTTAATACAAAAGGCCATTTTATTTTACAAGTGTCTTTTTAACTGTGCTAATGTTAAAAACATAATAATGAAATAAATAAAAATAAACCAACAAAATAAGGAATCACCAGATGCAGCTTATGCACATTTTATAATCAATTTAATTTGTTTTATTATGTGTCAGAATCCTTTCTACTTATATTTGCACTGTATATGAGACAAAACTAATCTTTTTACAGTCGTTGTACATAAATTGTAAAATTTGATTAAAATTTTTGTAAATTACATATTTGTCGTGTAGTTTGTTACCCTACTTTACAATCACAGTGGGCACGGAATTATGTCTTCTTCGATACTGCTACCCAGGATTGATGTGGTTCCCCATTAAAAGATTTTTATACTGAATGAATGTTTTAAAAAAAAAGTTTGCCTTCATTAAAAGGTTTCAGGTGCCCTTTATCATAATTTGGAATACTGTTTGTACCAAACTAGAAATGAAGACGTTGTGAGCCTGTAAACGTATGTGATATTTCATTGTTGCTTTTGTATAGACACTTACAACATACAATTTTTACTTTTAAAACGTATGTCCCAGCTTTTGATTCACATGAAACACAACAGGTGTAATACACCAGCTCATCTATCTCTGCTGAACTGTAAAATATTAATAAAAAGATATGTGCAGAACACATATAAAATTCAACAAAAGACATTGCTGAAACTTAACATTTAAAGTGTATCTATTTAATTAACGAACTCCCAAAAATATCCACCCAACCCCACCTGGGGATGTACACTTTTCATATTTTTTAAAAGACTTATCTACGTATGTTAGAACTATAATGCAAAAACGGAAAAGTCTATGATCAGTCCTTTAGTATTTTTCTTAAAACTATGAGGCTAGATCTATATATAGATCTTTATCCAACAGATAGAGCTCTACGGATAAGAAAAACTCTTAGAAACAAAAAATAATTTGGATTTTATTAATGTATGCATGCATGATTTAACGATGTGTTGGGTTTTTTTAAAAGAGACAATGCACGAAATTAACATCGACAATACACAGAATATCAGATGTCACTCTCATGGTCTTCTCGTGACATCGTAGGATATTTATGACACATTTCGGTATTTGTAAGTTTTCACCTAAATAGATATATATCGATCAATAATTTGCTAGAAACATTGACCAGTACAACGTAAATACGATAAACAAATAAGTGAAAAGAAAAGAATATATATTTGGCTGATATTATTTGATTAAAAACGGAGGCTTAGCACTTATTAACGATAATTTCATTCGTTGCTATGTAATTGTTTTCACCTCGGCTATTTTTAGAATATCGGTTTCTACGGGAAGTGACGTCACGCCGACCTTACCAATTGTAACATCTAGCATATCAAACTGTGATGCCATGCTAGGTGTAATAAAGCAAAGGAGAGATGTTGTACCGAGAATACAGCACTACTATCAAGAAATCGTCCCCATGTATTCATTGGATGACTTCAAGAGTCACTTCCGTCTCTCTCGTCACTCTTTCCAAACACTGCTAGTGCAGATGGAGAAAGCGCCAACGTTTAATCGAGCAAATGGCCCGTCAGTGAATACTGAGAAGGAACTTCTGATGTTCCTGTGGTATGTTGGTACGTGCAAGTAAGATGATCGCGCAACAACTCCATAATAACACTAAATAGCGATATAATATTCAAGTGTTTAAATGGTATCTTCATTAGCCATATGGAAATAGTGATATGCCCATTTCAAGGCTCCCAAAAATAGCGCTGTATTGGAGTCAGTGTGTATGATGATACAAAGTTCTCTTCATGGTTAAAGATGCCGTTATGCGTCAGAATAAATAAACATAATATTTTATAATAATAAAATGATTTATGTAACAAGTATTTTGAGACGTTTTCTCCGATTTCTAACGATTAACCTTTTTAACCTTTAAGTAGGATATAATTAAGTTCGAGCATAACAAATAAATAAAATAAATATTGTGTTCATTTGATCTTTCTCAACACTATTTATTTCAGGTAATCTGGAATGCTTTCGATCTATGGCAGACAGGTTTGGCGTTTCCAAAGGATCATTTCATGCAAGTGTGAAGAGAACATCGTCTGCTCTAGTTCAAGATATCATGGCTGAAGTTATTCAGTGGCCAAGGAGTAATGCCAAGCTGAGAGAGACAAGTGTTGGTTACAGTCAGTTATCAGAGCTTCAAGGAGTTATTGGTTCAATCGATGGTTCACATATTGCAATAAAGGCACCTTCAAAACACGCTCCAGCATATTATAACAGAAAGCAGTTTCACTCCTTGGTATTACTTGCATGCTGTGATGCAAACAACTGTTTTACCTACGCTTGGACAGGAAACCCTGGGAGCACGCATGATGCTACAGTACTCAGAACATCAGACCTATTTCAACAGGCCGAAAACTTAATACCACCTGGATTCTATCTTCTCGGTGACTCAGCCTTCCCCCTGAAGCGTTGGCTCATTACACCATTTCGAAATTTTGGTAACTTGACCCGTCAGCAAAACCACTTTAACACTACACATGCAAAGGCTCGTGTTGCTATTGAAAGAACCTTTGGGCTACTGAAATGCAGGTTTCGTAGACTTCTCAGATTCGAAGCATCAGATATGAATATTATCGTTGACACTATTTTGTCAGCATGCATCTTACATAACATTTGTGTGAAAGATGGAGATGACATGTTTGATGATATGGTAGATGACAACTGTTTCGACAACAGTGGAAGGGTGGCTAGACAATGCGACGACTTGTCAGGCATACGTTTACGGCAGGAATTGATTCAACAATTACAAGCAAATTAGATGACTAGAACTTTAATTGCAATGATCAACGTGATGATAACAACAACAACAAGAAACAATAATATCAACTTAACTAGAACACTCTGTGATTTCTGGACGGACAGACTCAAGCTAATTAATAAACTATTTTATAGGGCACACACAAATGTTGTGTGGCATCAGATAGAACATGCCTAACTCTTTACATACAACATAAAATACTGGTCGAGTTGAATTGGTTATATGAACATTTGACATACGTTTGTATTTTATCCACAGAAATAAATACCACTTTGACTAGAAAGGGTTTTAATTTGGTGTTCTTATAAGATAATACCGAGGTCAAATTGGGTCACAAATGTGGCCTCTAGAGTGTAAACATCAACAAGTTGCTCAGGTGAGCTAAAACGCATCAACAATATCACACAATTATAACACAAATGATAGAAATTAAGATGTTTTATAACCTATAAAACAGAATTTCAAACTGCATGTCTCTGCAGAAAATAATTAACTTAAAATGTTACTGTAGGCTGAACAACATATCTCTGCCAAGGCCTTTAATAATAAATCATCATTTCTAAAAACACGTGCCTCATTTACATTTTAAAAATGGCATCAACTTGTGCTTAAGAGCACAATTTTAATAGTACAGCGTGTATTCAGTTAGTTATAGTTTCTCAATAAGCTTCTCCATTAATTTATTTTGTTTTTCGTTCATAGAGCCGAGAGCTTGTATAAATCTTTCATCGCGCTCTTGCATGTATTCCTTCAGTTCCTCTAGCTGGCTCTTCTTCTTCTTCTTCTTTGGCTGAACAGATCCATTATCATCACTTTCATCTGCATCTTCTGGTTGGCTCTTCTTCTTTTTCTTTTGCTGAACTGAACCATTATCATCACTTTCATCTGCATCTGATTCCATTGGTGAGACAAGGGTGCCTTTTGCTGCAACGGGAATGAATGTGGGATCGTCCTGCACTATGTCGGCCATTAGTTCTGTATAGATGAATGGTTTGGGCCTTTTGTTTCCAGTTTTTTTGGAGTCCTCGACAAATTTCCTGTATGCTTTCTTGAGTGTGTAGTACCTCTCCCTGCACTTATCCCCAGTGATGTGGTTCATCCCAAGTTCCTCTGCAATCGTCGACCATACACTCCTTTTGTTTTTAGCCTCCTCAAATTTGGCACTTTTGCTTTTAATTGTCACAAGTAGTTTCTTAGTTACACCAACTCCCCACTCATATCTTGAACTTGTTGGCCCACTTTGGCTGCTACAGCTGACTGGTGTTGTCTGGGTTGATGGCCCACTTTGGCTGCTACAGCTGACTGGTGTTGTCTGGGTTGATGGCCCACTTTGGCTGCTACAGCTGACTGGTGTTGTCTGGGATGATGGCCCACTTTGGCTGCTACATGCAAGTGGTGATGGGTTTGTTGATGCCCGACTTTGGCTGCTACAACTAATTGGTGTTGGATGGGTAACAGTTGTGTGTGGATTTCGCACCAAGTCCATATCAACATAGATTGGATCTGTGTCAGAAGTGTTAGGGTAATTTTTCATCAAGAAGTTGGTAATGAGGACTCGATCTGCAAAGAAAAAAACAAATGGTGTGATTATGATGAAAAAGTCAACAGGTTTTCAGCACAGTACATTTAAATCATTGTTAAGACACCCACAATGGCGTGTCATTCTAATTTTTAGTTGTATTCATGCGCCAAGCTACTTTTACAACGCGAGGTTCAATAAGGGGTACCTCAATTTTGGCGAGTACAGTGCATATATAAAAATAACAGTGGTTTTAAACACGAGGCCAGTTCTTTCTTACATATTACATGACCCCATGTTTTTTATTTGCTTATTTTGTAGTTCAAGTTCAGTCATGTGATCAGGTGATATATGGCGACCTACATTGATATTGAGCCTAAAGTACAGCAATTCTCGTCTGAAAATCGTATTTTAGCATGCAAAATCATTTAGTGGTTTATAACCTATAGGTTGCGAACAGTAAAATACATGTCACCATGTGCGCTGAAAATCGTTATAGTTTAGTGAATCGAAAATATGCACCTGACAACAATCACACTTACTAGATGCAATAAACGGTATTTCCTGCTGATTAACGAGAACCTTATAACTTCTGTCACCAACTGGCATTTTCAGGGGAATAAGAATGCTAGTAACGTCTGCTTTGCGCAGATCTTTGTCCGCCATTTTTGTTTGACTGAAAACGAGGCTACCAAAGCTACCCGACTTGTATACTCGCGGGAGAAATGGCTACCAACAAAATTTCCGTCGTTATACCGATGGTTACCGATGGTTACCGACGGCTACCGATGGCTACCTATAGTACCAATAGGTACCGTTGTTAGAACCCTGAACGCACCCAATTATTTATTTTCACTATTATTCAGAAAAGGCTTAGTCCTAAAGCGGTATTTCTAAGGGTTCGTGTCCCAAAAGTTAAATATATTACATATTAGCGTCAATTTATCTTATTGACAAGCGCATATTTGTCAAGCACCTCACGAATGTTAGACGTTTCGTTCCTGTGACGTTTCGACCCTGATTTGCAAGACGGAAAAAATTTAAAATAGGAGGAAATCAATTCATAGGATAACTATGATCCAAACATATTGTTATTTAAAATACGTTTCAAATTGATACTTAGAATTATTTTGAATTTTTATTTATTAAGTCTTTTTAACTTTCTGACGATTTTTACACCCAGGCTAGTCCTTCATTGAAAGACTTCACATTTTCTTTTTTTACAGTTTGACGTTTATCGTTAAAGCAGATTTGACCCATGTAAAAAATAGCTTCAAATCGTCGGTTAATTCTAAATATTTGGACTACACGCAGGCTAGTCCAATATATTACTATTAGACATTACAGGCTTATTATATGTTATAGTTTATGTCGGTCAAGCCTGACTCAGAAGCAAAAATATCTCAAAGAGACGTCATATTTATAGGACTACACTCAGGCATGTCAACGACCCAGCTTGTCCAATATATTAGACGTTACAGGCTAGCCGCTTGTTATAGTTTTATGTCAGTCAAGCCTGGCGTCTAATAGTTATTGCTCATAAACACAATTAGCATCATAAAAAATTCTAAAAATGTCTTTTGTCTTGCCTTTCAAGCTTTATTCAAAAGTATATCTTCTTTTCTTTCTATTTCATCCTCAATCATTAACAAAAACTCTCAAACAATGTACTTATTAATTTAAAATGAAATATAAACATCAATCTATTTTTGTCTATTGGCCATACTGGTTAAGTAAAGCGCTTTAGGCCTACAGATTGATTCCAAATATTTAGACAGAAAAATTTATTCGAACACACTGACGGTGCATTTATTTCTTTAAAAACATATTCCGTTAGAAACTTCTGACTCATTTAAATGTTTGCATTTGAATTAGCCAATCAGATTTCCCACACTGTATGGCGGCTATTTGTTTATCGGCTGTATAAGGAATTTTAATAAATGAGAGGATTAAATCATGACTTTTCGGATGTGACAGTTTAATAATTTTGTTAAAAGGTATTTATTTTTTAGTTTTGTCCATAAATAGTTCAAAATTAATGTAAATACACGCTGTCAAAATTGTTTTTTCGTTTTGCCTGATTTTCTGGCGGAACATGCTATGGGTTTAACCGTTTTTGAGCAATTTTGATATGACATTGCTTTGCCCAGAAGCAAAAATATCTCAAAGCGACGTCGTATTTATAGGACTACGTCCCAGTGAGGGATTTGACATTAACAGTAGGTTTTGTAGGGTAGGGTGGAGTAAGGTGGGTAGGGTAGGGTAGGTTAGAACTACCTTAACAAAAGAACATATTAATACAGTCAGGACTCATTACAACGACACTGTTGGTTCCCAAAGGATATGTCAGTATATCGAATTTGTCAGTATATTGAATTCATCATTCATCATGTAATGATATGCTTATTCACTGGTATCTGAACATTATGTACATGTACATTATACCTCGATGACGCACACATTTTGATTTTGGAGAGTTAGTTATTGTCTCTTTAGTTTTTAAAAAAATGTCACTCACTGCCGATCTCCCTATCTTAATGTTCTATACATTTGAAAAATGAACACTAATATCACTTTGTGTAACATCCGTTTTACTTTCTTTATATGAAATGATTTCGTTTTTTTTTTGTTCAAAAGTTAAATAAGTCCAATGACGCTTAGCTGGAGGTTTTTCCATTATTTTGAAAAAAAGTCACAAGTTGGCAAGGGTAACAAAACTCAGCTGACAACAACATGTTGGTATTGTAATAAGGTGTAACAATTAACTGACCAAGCTACAATACCTGTTTTAACACCTTGCGGCTTTTGCTCACGGCTCAATGATATGTGCTCTTGACTGACCAGGTGTCAGTTTAACGGGTACTGATTGTATAGAAAATAACAAGTTTGGTTTCCAATTTTATTGTGTCGGAGTCAGAATACGAATTTTCCGTTATAAAGGATTATAATAACGTTGAAAAAATTTGGTTCCCACCATTTAACTGTCGTTATTTGAATTTGTCAGTATAATGGATTCCGATGTATTGAGTCCTGACTGTAGATCGATTTTTTAGCTCACCTGAGGACAATGTCCTCAAGGTGACCTTTTGTGATGGCCCATTGTCCGTTTTCGTCGTGCATCAACAATTTATTATTTTATAGAAACAACTTCTCCTCCTAAACCACTTGCCATATTTGTTGAAACTTTGCGGGGATGTTCCCTGCATGAAGCTCTACCAAAGTTGTTAAAAGAATTAAATTCCATAAAGAACTCTGGTTGCCATGGCAATGGAAATATTTTTTTTTACAAAAATCTTTTTGTAAAAAAACTGAAAGAGCTAGAACTAAGATATTTGGCATGTGACATCTTCTAATGGATGCCTACCAAGCTTGTTCAAATAAATGCCCTAGGGTCAATAATTTTTATAATTATGCCCCTTTTTCGGCTTAGAAATTCTAGGTAAAGTTTTTGTTTGTAAGCTGGTATCTCCAAACTTACTGAAGCCGGTATGTGCAATTTTTGGAACAATTCTATGCATTCATAATAATAAAGCAGTGATTTACTCGATAAAACATCTTAATAAAACAAAATATATTCATAAATTAATGGAAATTTCATCAGAAAGACACTTATAATAATAATATGACATAATCATAATTTGCATGGTTGCAGGAGAAACAAATAAATATTTGTATACAACATGTAATTGTTATATAAATGTGGCTTTGTTAATCTCCTCAGATTCCTGTTAAAAAGTTCAACATGGAGTATGAAGATGTCAGCAGTAATGAAGCAAAAGAAGATACACAACAAAAGGTCTGTAGTGTACATGTACCATTATTTTTTGAGGCACCACCTTGTCCGTCTGTCCGTCCGTTGTGCTTGTCTGGAGCATAATTTGTTTAAACTTAACACAGTGGTAGAGGGCATTGAGGCGGAGTGCAGTGTCAAAGAACCATAACTCTGTTTTGCCCCGCTTTTGAATGATCTCCCCTTTTAGAAAAATCTTGTTTATTTAAATGTTACAATAATGTGGATTCTACTTGACTTTCATCAGAAGTGTAGGTAATTGTAATGTTTATTTTATCTGAGTGTTATGAAAGAGTGATAGTATTTTGATGCTTACTTCCCTCCATGAGGTTAAACAAAACAAAATGTGAAGTGGCTTAGGGTCAGGTTCTTATCCAACATGAAAATATTGATCCCTCTTAGATGGAGATTATAAATTTGTGAACATGTATCCAGTAATATTCTCTAGAACTTCTTGTTGTACTGTATGGCCTAATGGTTGGTCAGATTTGATAATACATGCAATGCATCTTTGATTTGATATTATACATGTTCAACATAATGTCTATCAGTGTTGAAGTGTTTTGTGAAAGGTGTGGCTTTGTTCAGGGGTATATCTCATAATTAGTGCTCTTTGGGTCTGATTTTATACTTGGGTTTAGTTTCTCATATGCAGTTTTAAGGGACGCCCAGTCAACAGACAGTATCAGAACTTCTAGGCTTCCACCAAGCCATCCAACCTTAGAATTATTCCCTCCATCAGGAACCTGGGCTGCCATTTATCCAATGTTGAAAATGTTGAAAAGACTATAATAATGATTATACTGCTGTTAAATTTCACCACCTCTGCGGTCGAGGGGTTAGAGTCAATGACTTCTAATCCAGTTACCTCTCTGGTGGGGTTTGATCCCCGGGAGATGCTTTGGTAGTTTAGCGTGGAGGAAGGTAGTCTGGTACTGGTGTAACTCTCCAGGAACGATGGTTAGGAAACTACTGTCTATATGACAGAAATGTATACTGTTGGGAAAAAGCGTAAAACAAAACAAACAAAAGCTATTAAATTTAACACTGTGAGATCTATTTTATTGAACATTTATTACTGTATTACTTTTAGATTTTTCTAGCTAACAGTATTTAAAATAATTTTAAATCAAATACAAATACTTGACATAAAAGAAATGGCAAAGGCACATTAGCCTTTTTATTTGTGGTTTTTAAGTATATTTTATTAATTCCTTTAGGGTGAAATTGGGATATATTTTTGCAATTAAAGCATAAGGAAGTAACATTGATATTCGGTATTCTACGTGGCCTAATAGTAATAGTGTACTAATGTTTATGTATCCAAAGTCAAGAGAAATCACTTTTGTCAATATTTTAACTACAATGTACTTGAAATGTTGTGTTCAATTTATGATATAAAAACTGTGTAGTTAAGTATTTGCTCTTAGAGAATCATGGAAAAGTATAAGGATCAGGTGTGTCTATATATATTTTTTTTTTTCTTCTTGTGTTTTGTTTTATTTGTCCGTTACATTTTTATAAATTTTTGGCTTAATGTAGTCCAGACTTCATTCAATACAAATTTGCTAAGTTACAAGATGTACATATTATGCCTCAGATATAATAAATTAAGATAAAAAAATTAATAAAGAAACATAATGCCTCAGTAATAGATAATTTTGGTCTCTTCTGATAATTTTGGTCTCTTCTGATAATTTTGGTCTCTTCTATTAGTTCTATAGATGAGGAATTAATTAATAAAACTCCTGCTGAGTAAATTTATAACTTTTATGAATAAAGCAATGTCAAAAAATATTAGATTTATAGAATTTGTGAAGTTTTTATAGCTTCCTTTAAATTTTGTAAAAAACAAGTTAGGCCAGTGTTGCATTCAGCCATCGCCATGTGTGTAATGATATTTTATAAAGGATTTGAAGCATATTCAGAAGAAAAAATGTTTCATGTAGGCACTGGACCTGTGATGTGAAATAATTGTGTCATAAAGTTTACAGCCTGGTATTTTAATTTGACATCTAGACAAAATACTAAATAACAATCACTATATTACTAGCCAAAAGGCAATATGAACAACTGCTGGGTCATTTATTATTGTTAACATTATAACCAGTGGGTTCCTTTATCATAAACTGTGACAGTATATCAGAAAAGAGGAGAAATGAAATGAATAGCATTTCAGGGGGCTTTATGGGTCTTTCACCTTTGAATAATTTACGTATATGGTCAACATTGTCAATATTTACCGCATGCTAAAGGCGCTAATGATGCACTTAGAGTTTCTGTATTAAAGTATAATTAAGAATCATATTGTGAACCCTTCAAATGTACAAGTGGTGATTACAGACTAGTGTGCCTCTGTCATAGAACCAGACCAAGCTGTACATACGTAGTCTGCTTGCTCAATTCAATTCTTATTTCAGAATTTTAATACTGAGTAAACATTTGTCAAGGAACTCAGACCACTGAGGTTGAAATGCCTAAAAACATTTAATTTGAAAATCTTATATTGATCAACTGTGACATTAAAACAGAAAAAAATACGATATTCTTGAAAAAGTATTTATTTAGGAGGAAGCAAATTATCTGGAATTTTGCACACAAGTTTCTGTTATAGACTAACTTCAAATGGTATGAGAATTCTAAAAGTCAGGTGTAAAAATGTCAAAGTGGTATAAAAATCTAAAAGTGGTATAAAAATCTAAAAGTGGTACAAAATGTAATTGTGGTATAAAAATCTAAAAGTAGTATAAAAATGTAATCGTGGTATAAAAAAACCTCAGTGGAGTCCCTTTAATTTAAACCAAAAAATTGAATGTTTCATAAATGTTAACCTTAATTCAAAAAGAAAAAAACATATCTTAGATTATTTTTGATTTTATATACAGCATACAGAGGAGAAAATAAAGAAGAAGAAGAAAGATACGTTCAGTGTAAATATACAGCTAGATGTGGTTCAAGTTGGGCTGTTTCTTGCTGCATTGTTCACACGCACATGGCAGCTAGGATCTCCTAAATCTGTTGTGTAAGTTATAATTCCACGTGTGACTGCTAAACTTGTCTGTTCTCCCACGAATTTCACTTGTTGAAGTCTTTTTTTGTAACTTTGTTAACTAAAGCTGGTATTTAAATTGTATTTTAACATGAACTTAAAGTCAGAAAGTTATTTATTTGTTATAAATGGTCTTTATAATAATAAACACAATTAGAATAGACTTTGAATTAATTTCTAACTTTTGAATTTCTTTTGACGCTATCAAACACTAGGTTTAATAACATTCAATGAGCCGTACTGACCTGCGCTAACTTTCAGAATGCAAGATATAAAAAATGACATCGTTATACCAAAAGGAAGGCATAATGGGCATTATAGAGTTGAACAATCAATTTTACGTTAAATTTGAAGATTTGTTGTATTTTGTATTATTTATGTTTGTAGATTTGATGAGTTACATTTTGCTAAGTATGTTTCCTTATACATGAAACAAATCTTCTTCTTTGATGTTCATCCGCCACTGGGCAAGCTCATTCTAGCATTTATAGGTAAATATTTACATTCTATTTATAGAGTGATCTGAAAATTTGATTGATGTATATCTGTTTGAAGATGTATTATGATGATCCTTGTGTGATTAAATTTTTTATATGAGAACTGATGGTTTTATGTGGAGGTACTTAAGTCTCAAAATTAATATTTGTGATATAGTTACTCTGTGATACCCTTGTGTATTAATCTGGCCGGAAGTTATAAAACCTTTTTTTCTGAGTGTTGTCTCAAATCACAGGATTTTCATTGGTCAATGTACATTCTGTGGAAGTTTCTGACCAATCAGATACTGGAGATATGAGCTTGAGCTTAGAGATTTTTATAATCTCTGATCCTGGTATCAAAAACTAAGATAAAAATTCAGATTATAATAGATATTCTTCAAGCATGACATATAAAGTCAGCATTTCTTTTTAAGGTTTGCACTTTCTTTTTACTGTTTTTTTAACAAAGACTAATGACACAGTTCTGTATGTGAATTCAACAATCCTGTGTTATTAAACGAATTTGTCATATGTTTTAGCATATAATTCCTAATTAAGATTCATAATGGTAAATTTTAATTGTAAAATCTAATATTTCTTTAAGGTACTGGCCCTTTTAGATCTTTTTATATTGCCATGTAATCAGGTGAATCTGTACCAAGAAAATGAAACATAACAATGGAGCCATAGAAATTTTTTTTATATATTGTATAAATAAAAAGATCATACATTGTTTGCATCTGGTATAATGTTTCATCATGTACAGGTAGTTATCAAGGGTTTGAGGGTCATCTGGGATTTGAGAGAATAGGCGCAGGTAAGTTGTTATTTTAACAAATTGTTTTATTTAACTTAATATATACTTGCCTATAAAAGGAAATAGAGGATATTAATTGAGTGTAGATTTAATACTAAATTTATTGAGCAAGTTTGATAAAATCATATTATGCAAGCCTCTGGTGGGCACAATATTGTTTTATTCAATGAGTTTAATCAATTTTGTATTGAATTTACATGAATATAATATTCTTTTTATCATATATATAAAATTAGAACAGTAAACTGTCAAAAAGAGTCATTTTTGTGTCGCCTCTACGGAGTAGTGGCGACATATAGGGATCACTTCTCCGTCGTCTGTCCGTCCGTCTGTCTGTCCGTCCCTCCGTCACAAAACTTGTCCGGACTACTCCTCATAAACTACTGGTGCAATTTCATCCAAACTTTACAAGAATGATAAGTACCAAGTCTAGTTGTGCATATTGTCAGCATTTTCCGGTTCAATGATTTTGGTCAGAGTTATGGCCCTTTAATAATTTTTATACGCCCGTTTGAAAAACGGGACGTATTATGGGAACGCCCCTGGCGGGCGGGCGGTCGGGCGGGCGGGCGGGCGGCGTCCAATTTTGTCCGGAGCATATCTCCTACATGTATGGAGGGATTTTAATGAAACTTCATATAAATGTTCACCACTATAAGGAGCAGTGTCGCGCACATGAACCAGGTCTCTAGGTCAAAGGTCAAGGTCACACTTAGAGCTCATTGAAAAATGCTTGTCCGGAGCAAAACTTCCACATGTATAGAGGGATTTCAATATTACTTGGCACAAATGTTCACCATTGTGAGGCGGAGTGTCGCGTGCAAGATTCAGGTCCTTGCGGCCAAGGTCAAGGTCACACATAGAGGTCAAAGTTCAGATAAAAATATGAAGATGTGTATATGGACCATTTAGTCATCATTTATTGAGGGATTGTAACACAAATGGTCATTATCAAGACTATGGCTGTGATACATATAATTTAGGTCAATATATACAAGGTCAAGGTCACTAAAGATGATGAAATATCCAGATTTTGTAAATAGAATTTAATCAAAGGGAGACAACAAAGTTATTACTTTGTTCATAAATGACTTACACAATTACTCCCCTTGATCTATTTTCACTTTCAATTCTAAAAATAGAATTTAATCAAAGGGCATGAAATAATCCTCTTTCTTGGACTTGAGTATGTTCTAAAGAATGTAACATTTATTTACACATGTTTCATTCATTGGTCAAGATTCTTAACTGTGATAACTATGGTGTTCTGTAGACTTGGTATTTGTTCATAAAGATCATACAGTAATTACCTTATCAAATGTAAATACTTTCTCATAGAAATTTAATTATATTTTAATTTTCAAGTAAATATCAGTTCAGCTCATTCAAAGATTAAGAATTGTAATGAAATGTATTTCCCTAGAATAAAATCTTAAATCAGAATTTTTTAGTTATTAAATTACATGTACTTTTTATACGCCCGTTTAAAAAAAGATAAAAATATGAAGATGTGTATAGGGACGATTTAATCATCATTTATTGAGGGATTGTAACACAAATGGTCATTATAATGACTACGGCTGTGACACATGTACTTTAGGTCAATATATGCAAGGTCAAGGTCACTAAAGATGGTGAAATATCCAGATTTTGTCTGGAGCATATCTCCTACATGTATGGAAGAATTTTTATAATACTTTATGGAAATGTTCACCACCATGATATGTATTGCTCCATGCATGATCCAGGTCTCCAGGTCAAAGGTCAAGGTCACACTTAGAGCTCATTGAAAAACGCTTGTCCGGAGCAAAACTTCTACATTCATAGGGTTTTTCAATATAACTTGGCACAAATGTTCACCATTGTGAGGCTGAGTGTCGCATGCAAAATTCAGATCCCTGCGACCAAAGTCAAGGTTACACATAGAGGTCAAAGTTCAGATAAAAATTTGAAGATGGTTATAGGGACCATTTAGTCATCATTTATTGATGGATTGTAGCACAAATGGTAACTATCATGACTACAGGTGTTACACATTTAATTTAGGTTAATATTTGCAAGGTCAAGGTCACTGGAGATGATTAAATATCCAGATGTTGTCCGGAGCATATTTTCTACATGCATGGAGGAATTTTAATGTTACTTTTATAGAATTGTTCACCACCATGAGACGTAGTGCCCTGCACATAAACCAAGTCTCCAGGTCAAAGGTGAAGGTCACAGTTAGAGCTCATAGAAAAACACTTGTCTGGAGCAAAACTTCTACATGCATAGAGGGATTTCAATATAATTTGGCACAAATGTTCATCATTGTGAGGCTGAGTGCCGTGCATAAAATTCAGGTCCCTGCGACCAAGGTCAAGGTCACACATTCTGTGCATATCTTCCCTATTGATTTGTTTTAAGGTTCATTTAACAACACAGTGCCAAGAATAAAAACTTGCTTGCTAGATAACACTTATCCATAATGCCCCCATCTCCATCTAAAGCTTTTTCGTAAACGGGCGTATTTTGTGACTATGGCACCCTTGTTAATTTTAAAGTTTGTCCGGACTACTTCTCTTATACCACTAATGCAATTTCAATGAAACTTTACAGGATTGATCTGTAGCTCAAGTCCTTGTGCATATTGCACGAGTTTTCTGGTTGAATGATTTTTGGCCGAGTTATGGCCCTTTGATAAAAAGGTGTTTTTTTCTGTGTGTTGCCAGATACGCAAAAGCTTGTCCGGACTACTCCTCATAAACTACTGGTTCAATTTCATCCAAACTTTACAGGAATGATCAGTATCAAGTCTAGTTGTGCATATTGTCAGCATTTTCCGGTTCAATGATTTTTGTCAGAGTTATGGCCCTTTAATAATTTTTATTTTTAAAGTTTGTCCCGACTACTTCTATTATATCACTAATGCAATTTCAATGAAACTTTACAGGATTTGATCGGTAGCTCAAGTACTTGAGCACTTTACACGGGTTTTATGGTTGAATGATTTTTGGTCGAGTTATGGCCCTTTGATAAAAAGGTGTTTTTTCTGTGTGTTGCCAGATACGCAAAAGCTTGTCCGGACTAACTCCTCATAAAAACTACTGGCGTGCAATTTTATCCAAAATTTACAGGAATGATCAGTACCAAGTCTAGTTGTGCACTGTCCGTCTGTCTGTTCGTCTGTCACAAAATTTGTCCCAACATGAAATTGGCCATCATGAGGCGACACATGTGATTACTGATCGCTCTTGTTCATTGACACGCCTATAGTGTAGCGCAAATACTAGCGCGCTTTAACGCTTTGTTTATATGAAACGCAAATGACATCATGTCAAAGTGTTATTACACTAGTGTAATATTGTTTTTATCCATTGGCGTTATTACACTCCTGCACCATGGTTTATGTGATAAAGGGTGTCATGTGGGGCAGATATATATGGGTCAGTAGACTCTTGCTTTTTGTTGTACTGGTCAAATATTAAACATCACCTTGGTCTGGTGAATGGTTGCATGGATATATTCTGTCACTGCCAGCATGGTAACTGCAGTTAAGCTTGATAATCATTACATACTGGTTATACAATGAATATGTAAATGATTTTTGTTAAAATTGCTCATGCCGTTATCATTCATAGAAATTTTCTTTCAAACTTTCTAAATTTCACGATCATTTTAGGTTACAGGTGTCAAACTTTTACTGCATTTATTTCTGTGCTGTTAGACACAAATTTTATGAAAGTATTTGCATGAAAAAGAATAATTCAATTATCTAATCATTATCTATTGGATGAAGAAATTATCAATTATCTATTTATTGATGAAGAAATTGTCAATTATCTCTTTATCAAAGAGATTATCAAATATGATTATTTATTGATGATTATCAATTATGATAATGAAATTATCAATTATCTATTTTTTGATGAAAAAATTATCATTTATCTACCGGTATATTATGTTTATTGAAAGAAGAAAAAAACAAAACAATTATCTATTGATTTATTGAGAAATTATCAGTAATCTATTCATTGAAAAAGTAACAAATATTTATTTGTTGATGAAGACATCATTAATTATTGTTAATACTAAAATTCTCAATTTTCTGTTAAAGAAATTATCTATTTTCTGTTTATTGAAGGAATTATCTACATGTATTATGTATTGATTTATTACAGATTATCCCAGTGATTTCCCGTTGAAAAGTTTACGTTTAATACCAGCATTATGTGGCAGTCTGATAGTACCGATGGTATATCAAATAGCTGTAGAACTTGGCTTCACCAGATGGTCCGCACTATTAGCTGGTGCTTTTCTATTACTAGGTTTGCTATTTTATTGTATTTTATTGTATTTAATCAAGTAAACCCAAAGACGAAAAAAGGGCTATTAGATTGGTGTATGTCAGCAAGCGGGCGGCTTGAAAGGGAATAAGCAATTTTTTTTTGTGCTATGATTTGCGTCTTAATAACTCTGGGGATATTTAGTAACTTTCATAGAAATAAAGTCACAAAGTGCCTTAATGCATATTGTTGGAGTTTGTGTGATTTGATCATTTTTGTAAGAGTTTGTACCTTTTTTTTCACACATGTGTTTTGACCTCATGTAAATTCCTAAATTAAATTGTGATAATGTTTTGTACATTAATATAATTATTCACTGTTCGTTTGTTGTAAATATGATGTTATTATGATTATGTCATCAGAGGCTTATAGGCATTATTTGATTGAAATGAATTTTCTGTCTATCTGTTATTGGCAGAAAAATTTGTTTTGACACAATGTCTTGTCACTTGTCTTCTATATTTTTAGCTTGACTATTCGATAAGAATAAGTAGAGCTATTGTAGTCACCCGAGCGTCGGCGTAACCACTTATGTTAAAGTTTTTGTAATAGTTCAAATATTTTCAAAGTCAATTGACATATGGTTTTGAAACTTTGCACACTTGTTCACCATCATTACCCCAACCAGTAAACAGGAGGAGGTAACTGTATCAAGCATTTTGACAGAATTATGCCCCTTTTTCGACTTAGAATTTACGTTAAAGTTTTTGTAATAGTTCAAATATTTTCAAAGTCCATTGAAATATGGCTTTGAAACTTTGCACACTTGTTCACCATCATGACCCCAACCTGTAGACAGGAGGAGGCAACTCTATCAAGCATTTTGACAGAATTATGCCCCTTTTTCGACTTAGAATTTATGTTAAAGTTTTTGTAATAGTTCAAATATTTTCAAAGTCCATTGAAATATGGCTTTGAAACTTGGCACACTTGTTCACCATCATGACCCCAACCCGTAGACAGGAGGAGGTAATTCTATCAAGCATTCTGACAGAATTATGCCCCTTTTTCCACTTAGAATTTACGTTAAAGTTTTTGTAATAGTTCAAATATTTTCAAAGTCCATTGACATATGGCTTTGAAACTTTGCACACTTGTTCACCATCATGACCCCAACCTGTAAACAGGAGGAGGTAACTGTATCAAGCATTTTTTTTACTATCAAGCACTAAGAATAGTCGAGCGTTGCTGTCCTACTGACAGCTCTTGTTTGTTGTGTTAACAACTAACCTCCATATTTTATAGCTTAATTCCTCATTTGGTGCCATTTAGTGCGCCCTGTGTGTTGGAATAATGTAGGGGAAAGTCGCTTTCCTTGCTGATCGTAAGTCCACGAGAAACACTGTCTGTTAATTGTGTAAAATAATGTAATTAGTCTGTATGGCAGTGTTATTTTTGTGTATAATAGTGTAATTATTGTGTATGATAATAATGATAGTGTACTTAGTGTGTATTATAGTAAAATTATTGTGTATTACAGTGAAATCATTGTGTATTATAGTGAAATTATTGTGTATTATAGTGAAATTATTGTGTATTACAGTGAAATCATTGTGTATTATAGTGAAATTATTGTGTATTATAGTGAAATTATTGTGTATTATAGTGAAATTATTGTGTATTATAGTGAAATTATTGTGTATAATAGTGAAATAATTGTGTATTATATTGAAATTATTGTGTATTATAGTGAAATTATTGTGTATTACAGTGAAATTATTGTGTATTACAGTGAAATTATTGTGTATTACAGTGAAATTATTGTGTTTTATAGTGAAATTATTGTGTATTATAGTGAAATTATTGTGTTTTATAGTGAAATTATTGCGTATAATAGTGAAATCATTGTGTATTATAGTGAAATTATTGCGTATAATAGTGAAATCATTGTGTATTATAGTGAAATTATCGTGTATTTATTATAGTGACATTATTGTGTATAATACTGAAATTATTGTGTACTATAGTAAAATTATTACGTATAATAGTGAAATCATTGTGTATAATAATAAAATTATTGTGTATTATAGTGAAATTATCGTGTATAATAATAAAATTATTGTGTATTATAGTGAAATTATCGTGTCTTATAGTGAAATTATTGTGTAATATAATGTAAGTGTTGTGTATATTAGTGAAAGAACCATTAACATCTCTCTTGGTAAAGTCAATATTATGACGCAATTGAAAATAGATATTTTTCTTTCCATTACAGACAATGCTCTATTGGTGCAATGCAGATTTATACTGATGGAAGGGATGTTGCTGTTTTTCATGTGCCTTTCTTTATTAAGTTACCTCAAATTTAGATCACTATGTCATAGGTAAGAAATAAAAGTTTTACTATCAGCCATGCAGCCATTGTTTACTTTTACAACTTGTACATATTTGTTATTAATTTTGTAGAAAAAAAAGCCAGAAACAAAAAAAAACATTTTTTGTGTGTTTGTGTAAAGATGGGTAGGAGTTGTTTTGAATTAATATTATCTTATTTCTATGGATACTGATTGCGTTTGAAAAAACAACAAGAAACACAAATCTAAATTTTAATCATTTACCACTACATATTTATTTCTTATATATCTTAACTCAGATATTTTAAAGTATTAAATTTGATTGCTAATTTAATTTTTAACAACCTAATGATTATATATTGTGGGTCTATTTTATGTAAGATAAGATAATGTGTGTATAGAAAAAGGAGACAGTTTAATTTTCAGGGATTTAATTTCATTAATCAACAAATTTTGATTAAAATAAGTTAATGCTTACAATAACATATCAAAAGATATTTTTTTCTGTTCTTAGGTCATTTTCTCTACAGTGGTTTTTCTGGTTGTCATTGACCGGTGTGTCTTTTACTTGTACCCTCAGGTCAGTACTTACAGTTCTCATATTTATCTAGCTTAGCACTTAACATGCTTGAATCTGTAAATGGTGAGCTTTTGCCAACTTATATACCAACTTGTACTTTTGAACAGTTAAATACATTGAAACAAGAGGTTTTGAAAATATTTTACTTTGTTAGGTTAAGGAAAGATTTTATGTCATATGCTCAAATATTCATAAGTCAGCTATTTTGCAAATGTTGGGCCTTTGTGGCAGAGTGGTTTAGGTCACTGAATCCAAACCACTTGCAATTTAAACATTGTGAGTTTGAATCCTGCCACTTACATTAAACTTTATCATGTTTGCAAAGTATGCAGCTATCCTTGTTACTGGCTCTACTTGGGTAGGCGCGTCCATGGCCCAAGTGATTAAGGTCATTGACTTCAAACCAATTGTCCCTCACTGCTGTGGAGTTGGAATTCCGCCAAGGGCTTTGAATTCTTTCTTGTGAGGAAACTATGCAACAATCTTACAGAGGGTCCGTGGTTTTACTTATGTGCCTTTTTATGCCTAAAATATTTGGCAGAGGGGACCTGAGGTCTTCCTCCACCAGTAAAGCTGGAAAGTTGCCATATGACCTATACTGTGTTGATGCAATATAACTCCACTAAAAAAATATATGTAAAGCGAATAAATGTATAGGAAAAAATGGATTGAAAATTATGGATTTAGTGGTGTACATGTATACATTTTAATTTACAGTGTCAAATATGTTGGGCTGTTCACTGCAATATTAGTTCTGTATCTGATTTGGAGGGATTACTGGAAATTACTGTCGGACTTCACAAAATCTGATGTAAGTGTTACATTTCTATTTACATGTAGCTTATATAATGATCAGACTAACAATCTAATTGATATGAAAAGAAGCTGGAAATTTTTCGGATATTTTTTTTATTTGACTATTTATTATTACTATTGTATGCAGACTAGTGATGATAGATAGATACAGGTGAAAAAAAGGCGCCACCTCTTAGATAAGAAGAGTCCTATAGATATATTTAAATCAAGTTACCATAAATATTTTACTTTAACCCTTTCCCTGCTTATTTGATGGAAAAGACTTGTCCCATTTTGATTTTATATTATATCCATGGTGATTTTGTATGGTTATGATAAAGGGATAAAGGGATCAGTACTGGTCAAACTTCACAAATAGCCTGACATGAATATCCAGCACAAGGGTAACTGTACAAGGCAGTAATTAAGCTCTGACCAGCAACCTCTAATAGAACTAAACGTTCTTATCTATACCAGCACCTAATGTTTGATGCTTGCTTGCAAATTAAATATATACTGTATCATAGATGAAAATGAAATAAAGGAAAAAAATTTCCTTCACCATCGTTTTCTTGAATGTATTTAGTTGGAAAAGAATAAACAAGAATTTCTGCTTAGCTTCATTTTTTATATGAATATACAGCCTCAGATATAAATGGGGGAATGTCATTATTCCAAACATACAACTCACTTAAAGGAGTATTTGCTGGCATTTTCCTAAACCACTGAAAATGCAAGGATATTTAGTAAGCTCTTGGATAGTCTTCACTAGTACTGGGGTATACTTTATTTTTCTGGCAAATTATAAAAAAGGTCTTAATGTATCATACTGCTATGTATCCAAATAAGCAAAATTTTGAATAACTTTGGTATCATCCTTGAGTAGGTTCAAACCAGGATGAGTATTGCATGCTTAAGGAAGAAAGCATCCATAGATTTCCCTCATACATTGTATTTTGTTTTACATTGTTTTCCTCTACAGTTATGTTTACTGTATCACATGGTGGCAAGAGGTGTCTTCCTTTTGGTGGTTCCAGCAGTCCTGTATGTGTACATATTCTATATACATCTTAGTGTACTCACCAAGGCTGGACCTCATGACAATATTATGACTAGTGCATTCCAAGCTAGCCTAGAGGTAAGACATAATATACAATCAAGGCAAATAAAGAAGACACATATAATTTTATATCTATAGTGATGAGAGCTAAAACTTACTTAAACCATTCACAAAATGCAAAATGTGAGAACTGGTGTCATAAGAGAAAACATGAACATGTAGGCCTCACAATACTTTCATTTACAATCAAGAATCATATCTTAATCACTAGGCCATCTCTCCAAAGGATCAAGCTTTCTTTATGACAGTTGATGTTAGATATTGAGTCTTATTGAAGTTATTGTCGTTTCTATCTAGTCACTGATTCCACAATCACATGAGATTGTTTGTCCATTACTTGCAGAGAAATTGTTAATTACTGGTTAGTTATTCAGGAAAGCTGGTGAAGTGGACTGACCAGTGTTATATGACCAAAAACTATGTTTAAATCTGTGTAAAAAAAACAACTCGACAAACATTTGAGCCCCGTCATGACAAAACCAACATAATGGGTTTGCGACCAGCATGGATCCAGACCAGCCTGCGCATCCGTGCAGTCTGATCAGGATGCATGCTGTTCGCTTACAAACCATATTACAAGTAGAGAAACTGATAGCGAATAGCATGGATCCTGATCAGACTGCGCGGATGCGCAGGCTGGTCTGGATCCATGCTGGTCGCAAACCCATTATATTGGTTTTGTCGTGACGGGGCTCATCTCTCCTGTAAATGAAGATATATTGACCTTTAGGAAGTGAGTGACATGTCATAACTGTTAAAGGAAGCCATATATATACGTTGGCATGGTAACCAGAAGAAAATTAGACAATTCTTATAATACTTGAATATTCTTGTAAATAATACTACTCATGGCCTTATATTTCCATGGAAAAATTTAGATACTGTTGGCTACTCAAGTTTAGTTCTGTTTTTTATCAAAATCCCTTCAATTTGTAATGAACAGTAACTGCTCCAAAGAAGAAGTAAATCAAATTCATTATTTTCCAAAAGTAAGCAGGGCAATAGTGATATCTAATTATAGAGCAAATACATTTGATAATTACAGGGTGGATTAGCAACTCTGACAAAAGGCCAGCCTTTACACATTGCATATGGTTCCCAGATTACACTAAAGCACACATACGACCCGGCACCAGGTCATCCTTGCTGGCTCCACTCTCACGCCACGCCTTACCCAGTCAAGTACAAGGACGGACGGGGATCCAGTCATCAGCAACAAGTCACTTGTTACTCCTATAAAGATGTTAACAACTGGTGGATAGTGAAACGTCCAAATCAGTGAGTATCTCTTAAAAAAAAAAAAAAATTAAATATAAATGATATCAAGTCAGTAGTTGAATAAAAATGATACTGGTCAATAATTGCTTAAAATAATAAAAGATATAACTAGAATGTAATTGAAAAAAATGTATACATACATACAGTTATTATATGAATAAATGATATGAAGTAGAAATTATATTAAAAACACTATCTAGTTTGTTATTACAATATTAATAATTAATTAGTTATAAAAATGGTATGTTTCAGGCTCTGTTTTATTAGGCTGTGGTAAATTCAAGCTTATGTCAACACTCCTGGTACAGGTGTCTGTGACTGAGTGGTTAAAGTCAACGACTTCAAAAAAAGACTTCAAACCACATGCCCTACAACAGATGCCCCAACAGTCAGGGTTCGAATCCTGACATGGACTTTTGATTGTGTCATGTGAGAAATCTATCCAGCTAGCTTACAAAACGTTGGTGGCTCTACTCAGGTGCCAGTTTATGGCTAAAATAATGCACGGGAGGGGCACCTGACGTCTTCCTCCATCAGTGAAGCTGGAAAGTTGCCATATGACCTGTACTGTGTTAGTGTGACAAAAAAAACAACAAAAAAAACCCAGGCACTGGCTTACACAAATTTCAATATTCAAATTATGTTTGCCAATGAGTGATATAATTGATATTTAACTGTTTAAATCTTTTTATGGAAAAGTATATATTTTATTTAATGGGGATATTATTACAGGGACTCTATGCTGGTTGATGACCCACCAGAGGCTGTGAAGAATGGGGACATTATACAGTTAGTACATGGTATAACAGGCAGAGCACTTAACAGGTTTGTCAGTGTTGGTCTTAACTGTTACTCAAATATTTATGATACCATTTCACAGAAGTGATTCTTGAAATCAAGATCAGTCTGATATGAAGTAAGTTTAAAAGATTTTTTGACAGGTTATATGGTAGAGTAGCAACAGTTATAGGAAAGAGTTATAAAATATATAGGAAAATATAGTATACAAATCTCGGGGGTGGGGGGTGGGGGGGAAGTGATCCATGGAAGCATTAAAATCGACAAATTACATGAAAATTGCAACTCAAGTTTGATTGAGGAATAATTAATGAAAAAGTGCAACATTCCTCACGCCCCTAAGTACGGGCTTGAGTGGTACTCAATTTTCAACACTTTCAAGGCCATTTAACCTGTCAAAAGTCATTTTAACAAATTTATAATAAGTATTTTTGTAATTAGAGTAAAAAATAACAAAAATAAGGTCATTACAAATATCCTGAGCTATCTCACAAATTTAATCATCACAAATGAAAATTTACATTTCAGATCAGCAATATTGTAAATGTTCATAGAAATACGGCTTCATGTTTCTGGAAAGGCATTATTTCCTGAAAAATCTTCCATAAAAAATCTTCTACTTAATTTTTGCCTTCAAAGATTGCAAGAATTCTTTGAAAAATTTACTGGAAACCTACTCCTGAACCCTCTTCTCAACCCACTTAAAAAAAATATGAAATTAAAAAGAAATACAGTAAAATCTCTGAAAACCGGACCCTCCAAAAATCGGAATCCTCTGAAAACCGGACCATTTCAAAAGTCCCGTATTTTCTCCTTATATGTTCATTGAAAAAAATCCTCTAAATACCGGAACCTCTGAATTCCGAAAACCGGACGCTTTTCCGTGGCTTCTAATGCTAAACATGCATAAAAAATCCTCTGGAATCCGGACAGCAATTTTAAGTGTCAACTTTCTGTGTATTTTAAAGTATATTAAAACATAATCTCAACAGGTGACATGTTCAATTACCAGTTAATGATCACCATTTTTATCTATGCAGGTGTGAAAACACTTGTTAGTGTGTGTTAATTTCTTATTGGCAATTAAATTGAGCTCTTTCATTATAATTGTGCCTTTCCCTGTATAGGTATGATTTTTCTAAATGTTTTTAATTTGTTGTGTGTTTTTTTCTTCTTTAAATATAAAATGTCTAAAAGAATAAGAAACTTTTGTAAAATGATTCCTGTTTTGCTAAAAATTTTGATCTTTGTTTGGATATTTATTACATGCAAAAATAGTTATACTAAGTTCCATTAATTACATATTTCAAAAGCCAATTAAAAAGATAAATTTCAGACAATGTGTTGTTTTAATTTCTGATTATCTGAATTATATTCATGGATTTGCATAATAAAATTACTTAAGACATTAATGCTAAAAGAAATTAAAATATGACTTAGTCAAAAATGTTAAAAAGTAAATACAAAATGTTTTAACAAAGTCAATGTTCAAACACATTATAATTATCAATAAATGTATAAAACCTCTGAAATCTGGAATCCTCTGAAAACCGGACTTTTGGTCAAGTCCGGAGAGGGTCCGGTTTTCAGAGTTTTTACTGTATATATATAAAGAAAGAAATGATTAAAAATTATAATATCTTGACATTAAAAAAAAATGTTAAAAAAGTTTGAATATTGTATTTTTTTCATGCTTATTTCAGTCATGATGTTGCGGCACCTGTGAGTCCTCAGCACCAGGAAGTCTCCTGCTATATTGATTATAATGTTTCAATGCCAGCACAAAGTCTCTGGAAACTCGTAAGTATAAAAAAAATGAGCTGCGTCATGACAAAACCAACATAGTGGGTATGCGACCAGCATGGATCCAGACCAGCCTGCGCCTCCGCGCAGTCTGATCAGGATCCATGCTGTTCGCTTTCTGTTTCTCTACTTGTTATAGGGTTTGTAAGCGAACAGCATGGATCCTGATCAGGCTGGTCTGGCTCAAATGTGTTTCATTCAACTTGTCTGATATGAATGGCTGACTAACACATAGTTTTTACCACTATCTGATTGTTTAATTTCCTTGGATTTAAACAATTATTTGATCAAGACTGACTTACTTCACATTGATTGTTACAGGATTATGTTACTAACTTGTGAAACTGCCAACTCAGGGATTTTTTTTGGCGTATTTTATAGCTAATATTCGGTCATCTTTCCAATTAAAAAAAGGATATTATTTTCCCAATCCACAGGAAAAAATTCCCAATTGAAAGTTACAAAATGAAAATATTGAATAACAAATTCTAAAATCTTGGAAAATAAGGGCTTCTTCAATGCTATGGTGCCAAAGTGTTTGAAGATGTTTTCCTAGACAGTGACTTTGCATTCATTTAATCCCTGCAAAATTTAAGTCATGCATTTTTCCCAATTTTTCACAAAACAGCACTGAAATTCCCAATTCAATGGGTAAGGGTCATGTTGAACAAAACCCTGTTTGAACTTCTCTGCAAAGATTTTTGAAGACAATCTTTGGCATTAAACATTCTTTTTTCTATCAATAAATATAGATTAATCATTCATGTGTGATATTGTATTTTCTATATTTAGGATATTTTGAATAATGGTGTGTATGGTGGTGAGAAGTGGGAAACTATAAATAGCCAAGTTCGTCTAGTGCACGTCAACACCTCACAAGCTGTCAAGGTAAACTCTAAGCATCGTGGGATACTTTTATGTCTATAAATAAACATGATAAGGTGTAGGTAAACAGTGCTGTAATAAACAAAAGTTGAATAAGGAAATAATGTTAAAATATAAGATCTAAAAGCTTGTTGGGATATTTTTTAGGACAGAGGTGGGGCATAGAAATTACCCCTTGTCCATCTGTTCCGCTGTCGTAGGGACTGTCTGTAGAATGACAAAACAGTGAAATGGGGCGTGTGTGTCCTATGAAAACATTGCTAGTTTTGTCTAAAAATAAACATGGTTAAATAAAGGAAAATGGTATTGTAAGGAACAGTTTAATATTTTTAAGATGATGTTTAAAAAGTGAAAACAACACAATAATTAAAGGATGAAGAACTTGTTTCATAAGCAAAGGTGGCTGGATCAATTATCAGATAAACCACTAGCAATCAGAAAGCCAAGCTTACAGAGTTTTGACAGTATTGTGTTAAAGTCTCTAGCTATATGTATGACCTGTTTCAGATAACTGGTAAATTTTTACCAGAGTGGGGATTTAACCAGTTAGAAGTGGCCACAGACAGAGTTGTACAGCAAGAGGCAACCATCTGGAATGTTGAGGAGCACAGATATACCAAAAGTATGAGTATATAGTTTAGTTTATCACATAGAGGTTATTGAATGTGTGCATGATCAATACTAAATTTATTGAATTAGTTGAATAAAACTTTCTTATTCGAGTCTTTGTCAATTTTTAAATTATTTCATTCCATGAGTTGAATAAATTCTGTAATACATAAGCTCCACAAATATAGTTTTCTATTTATCACATAACCAAAATAGGAATTTTATACAGTAAAAAAGTGTCACTATCTTGTTAAAGTGTGTGAGTAGCAAAATCTGTGTTTGCCTTTTCTCAGAGATAAAAATATTCATTTTTCATGGTAGGGAATGTGTCACAGTGTTGTGCTTTTGGGCTCAATGCTAACTATATTTTTTCTCATCCACTTAATACAAAAAGAGTTTATTTCTCAGTTATTAACACATCATTTTAATATCCAGGCGATAATGCGCAGGAAGAAGTAGGTCGTCATGAAATGATCCCGTTAAATCCCACATATCTCTCGTTCTGGCAGAAATTCTCTGAGCTTCAGTACCGGATGATTATGATGGGACAGGACAAGGATATGGAACATAAATACAGTTCTAGTCCACTCGACTGGCCATTTATGAAGAAGAACGTGGCCTACTGGCTCAGCGATAATAGTAATGTAAGTACAATTGAATTCATTTTTACGAAAGACCGGTGGGGACATTTCATATCCATGAATTCCCGATTTTATCGTATTGAATTTACAATTTTAACTTCATGAATTCACGTTTTCAACTTCACAAATTCACGATTTCAACTTCACGAATTCACGATTTCAACTTCACGAATTCACGATTTCAACTACATGAATTCAAGATTATTTTTTTGCCTTATTTGTTTTATAACATTAGTTTATATGTCATTGACAGGCCCAGATCCATCTGGTAGGAAATGTTGTAGTTTGGTTCACTGGTACTATATCTATTATATCATACAGCGGACTTCTGGTTTTCTATCTGTTGAGGAGGAGACGAGAATGCTACGATCTTACCCAAGGTAAACATCTGTGATTCTCTTCATGCTTAATGTAATTGATGTAAATAATGACAAATATTAAGATGGTCCTAATTTGATCTTGATGATGCGGTTGTCATAAATTTTCAATCTCATTACCTTAAACTGAAAATAAGAACAATTGTTTATATGGAATTCCATAAACTATGAATAACCAAGAATAAAATGAAAAAGATTAGCCAAAAGTTAAAATAAGATTCTTTCAGGCTTATTGTTTAGTTATCTGCCCTTGAACTAACAGAAATCTAGCATAAATAAAACTCATTGGCTTATAACTCAAAAACAAGACCCTGATTTTTTTTTGCTTAACCCTTTACCTCACATAGACGTGATTTTACACACTTTTGACCCCATCCCCCTATTGAGGCCTCAAATAGTGTAAAAATGTCATATTTAGACCCCACTTGTTTTCGTTTGAGAAATGTTGTTTCAAAAAGTGATCACTTTTTTCGGCGCCGCCTCCTATCTGAAAGATACATAGGGTGTGACAGAGGGGGGGTTGTGCCCTCTTTTGCTAGGGGGTAAGGTGTAACCAACACAGAAAAGCCTTTGACTCTATCTCAATCCAAAGAGAAGTTGCAGCACTTTAAAATCAGTTTTAATGGGGGAAAAAAACATTGCAAAATGGTAATTTTGGCAATTTTGAGATGTCTACTTGTGGCCATGGTAACAGGAAATTTACGACTGAGCATGTCTTAACAAAGGCAATAGTCCAGTCAGCATTTGTGCCAGGTTTGATCAGTATTAAAGCATTTTGTATAGTTTCATAGCAATTTGAACTTGTAACAGTAGGCTTTTCAATGAAAACAGCCATTTTTCACAATATGCTCATGGAGTAATGGGTTAAAATGATTTGTTGTTTTCAAAGATTCAAATAGATACTCTTTAATAGCTTTATTCTGCCTGAATATTCTTGGTGGCCATGAAACTGTGGTCTTTATATACATGTGTATAGTATTCTAGTTTCCTGTGTAAAAGTGGTTCTCATGAAAACTTATATATTTGTAGATGATTGGACACACTTCCTCTTTGTGTTTGATATTGTTGTCGTGGGATATTTCATACATTACATTCCACATTTCCTGACGGACAAAACGTTATTTCTACACCACTACCTTCCTTGTGTAATCTTCAAAGTACTAGCGCTATCTGCTGTAGTAAACCATATAGATATGTGGCTATCACAGTAAGTGTTTTCATTTGAGCCGCGCCATGACAAAACCAACATAATGGGTTTGCGACCAGCATGGATCCAGACCAGCAATGCGCATCCGCGCAGTCTATTCAGGATCCATGCTGTTCGCTTACAAACCCTATTACAAGTAGAGAAACTGATAGTGAACAGCATGGATCCTGATCAGACTGTGCAGAGGCGCAGGCTGGTCTGGATCCATGTTGGTTGCAAACGCACGATGTTAGTTTTGTTATGGCGCAACTCAATTATGTTTTAATTATGTTGATGGATTTAACTCATTACAATTTTGCAGCAGTACCTATACATGCTTGACAGAAATCTTGATCACAAAATAGAAAACTATGGCTTTTTTTTCAGCGATTCTTACATTTTCATTCATAATTGTTACGGTATATAAAGGGGTGTGACGAGATGAATTAGCTGTCTTAAAGTGTGTTTTTGCAGGTGAAAAGGCAAGATTTTAGCGTTTCATAATCTGGTATATACCAGAATATGGTAGTTAGTGTGCTGCTCCAACACTTTGTTTTAGTCTCGCTCAATGTTGATATACTATCAATGAATAAGTTGATATTGTAGAATCAAATTATTCTGGAATAGTAAAAAAACCAACAATTTTAGAGAATTACGGTACTTGTAAATGAACAAATTTTAGCAGTCATTGATAAAAGTTAAACATTTTATTTCAGGATACGTTATGGGACAAAGATTATGACCAATGTGATAGTTATATTGATAGCTGCGGCATTATGGGTATTCCAAGAACTGCTAATTGTTACCTATGGCAACACAAACCTAAACGCTGAGCAAGTGGAAAAACTGACCTGGATGGAATCCTGGGACTTTCTCCTCCATAAATAGCACTATTCTAGAATTTTTCTACAAATACTTTATTAGTCCCCTACCGGTTTACCGGAGGGGACTTTAGGTTTACCCTCCGTCCGTCTGTCCGTCCGTCCGTACGAACCCAGAGGTACTTGTGTGACTTGGAGAACAATGGGTAACAGTAAATTCTCTTTGATCCTATTCATTCCGTTTTACTTGTGTGTCTTTTTTTTTAAGGCTTGTGTGACCAAAAATGGCCAAAAAGATCAAAGGAAAAGTCACACAAGTACCATTTTGTGAGTCCGGGCGTCCGTCCGTCCGTCTGTCCGTCCGTCCGTCAGTCCACAAAACTGGATCCCGCAATAACGCAAAAAGTACTGAAAATATTTTAATGAAACTTGATATATGGATAGATGGCAGTATGGAGATTATGCACATCTTTTTCTTTTCTTCCTATGTTGAAAATTCTGGTTGCTATGGCAACAAATAGACTGAAAATATGGCAAATTTTACACATAACCTGGATCCAGTGATAACACAAAAAGTACTGAAAATATGTTTATGAAACTTGAAATATGGGTAGATGGCAGTATGGAGATTATGCACATCTTTTTCTTTTCTTCCTATGTTGAAAATTCTGGTTGCTATGGCAACAAATAGACTGAAAATATGACAAATTTTACACATAAACTGGATCCCGTGATAACGCAAAAACTACTGAAAATATTTTTATGAAACTTGATATATGGATAGATGGCAGTATGGAGATTATGCACATCTTTTTCTTTTCTTCCTATGTTGAAAATTCTGGTTGCTATGGCAACAAATAGACTGAAAATATGGCAAATTTTACACATAACCTGGATCCAGTGATAACACAAAAAGTACTGAAAATATGTTTATGAAAACTTGACATATGGGTAGATGGCAGTATGGAAATTATTCACATCCTTTTCTTATCTTCCTATGTTGAAAATTCTGGTTGCTATGGCAACAAATAGACTGAATTTCAAGATTTCTGATTCTAGTTTTTAAGTTTTTTTCACTATAAGTTCTTTATTTCTTAAGGTATTTTCTTCAAACTTTAAATATAAGTTGCTTGTCATCAACCACACATCATATGTGACAAGGTTTACAACTCTAGCACAAAATTTATCAGAATAACCTCCCTTGAACTTGAAATTTTCATGGAAAAAACATTGTTTTTTTTAATAACTTCTTTTTCTGAATGTATCTACTTCAAACTTCATATAAATGTTTCTTATTGTCACTCAACATTTGTGAGTGTTCAATACTCTAGCAAGACTATTTCCAGAATTATGCCCCTTTTGAACTTAGACTTTTTTTTGAGAAATTGGTAATTTTTACTCCAACTTCTTCAATCATGATAGGATTTTAAAAATGTTATATTTTGATAACAGGGATCTTTAAAAAATAACTTTAGAGTGTCTTTCAGTCTGTCTGTACATAAAAACTATTTCCTGTGATCACTTTTAAAGAACTTTTTCAACAAATTTACTTTAAATAGGAACCTAAGTGAATGGCCAATGGCCCATAGAATGTTGCTTGGGCTCTTACCGGTAGGGGACTTATGGATTGCTTGCAATACTATGATAATTGCTTGTTATTATTATTTTTTACATAATATATACTGTATATATTTTATATGAAAACCATCGTGCCAATATATGTATCATTTTGTGAGACTCAAAAAACAGAACTTGTGGTTTTATGTTGCTGTTATGTGTAACATTGCCGAAGTGACATGTTAATGAATGATTCTGTGGAAGTATATAAATTCTGTAGAAAATCTTAGCCTGCTTTGATCTATTTGACAAATAAAAGTGTCGAGTCTGAAATGAACAGAAGCCTGTGAAATGCTTAATACTATTTTTATTGTGTCTTGTATTGCTTAAAAATAGTGTTCAAACAAACTGTATTGTACATAATCATTTTACATATAAATCATCATTGCCTTTGCAAGATGTTTTATCTGATTGTATTTTTGCCCCTGAATTGATTAAAAATAGCATTTATTTAGAAAATAACATTTATGTAGAAGAAAGATATGAAATTATAAAATTTGCTCGTCTCATAATTGATTTGTAACTCTCTGATTTTTTTTTCAAAACTGTCCATAATCAATATGAGGGATTTATAGATGAAACTTTCGTCAGATAACATTGTATAGGTTTGCCAGACTGCACAGAAATGCGGACCTGGTCTGACTCTATACCAATGTCAAAGGCTAATTGATTTCATTACTAGGAGTTTAAGTGTTAACGATTTGTTGTCATTTTATGAGATTCAAAAAAAGTTTTTACTTGATGATGGTTATTTGTCTCTGACAACTGAATCAGTTGTCAGAGACAAATAACCATCATCAAGTAAAAACTTACGCTATAGAAAAAAATGTACTTCTACGCACAATAAGGTATACACTGGTTTGTGTAAAACTTAAAAATTCTTTGAAATCATTTAATACATGTATTTATTTCCTTGATGTTTTTTTTTATCATTTATGCAACAGCTTGATCTTTGTATTCAAGAATTGTTTTTATATATATATTATAATAGGATTAATTGATTATTGAATCTCAAATTTGTTCCTATGTTAATGTTTTGTTTGAATTGCTATGTCAAAATTTAAGTTTACTTTTTCATTTTTCATTTTAAGTTTGCTATGTCATGTATGTCAAAACTTATTCATTGCAATGTCAAAGTATTTAGTTTGCTAAGTCAAAACTTGTTTGTTATTATGTCAAATTATTTACTGTGCTATGTCAATTTATTCAAAATGTGTTTATATTCATAATTATATTATATGTTCAAGTTTGCTTATATCAGTAAGTGAATATTAAATGAGCAGCGCCATAACAAAACCAACATAGTAGAGAAACTGATAGCGACCAGCATGGATCCTGATCAGACTGTGTGGATGCTCAGGCTGGTCTGGATCCATGCTGGTCGCAAACGCACTATATTGGTTTTGTCATGATGTGGCTTAAATGTTTTATTTATGCAGGTTTATAAGTAATACATGCAGACCTTTAAAGAATTGATCGATATTTATGGTATCCCACTTGTCCACAATTACTATTTATAGAAATTCTGTTTCAATTTGAGTTCTTCAAACTTCTTCTTTGAATATAGGTTCACATTGAATTTGAGCCGCGTCATGACAAAACCAACATAATAGGTTTGCGACCAGCATGGATCAAGACCAGCCTGCCCATCCGCGCAGTCTGGTCAGGATCCATGCTGTTCGCTATCAGTTTCTCTACTTGTAATAGGGTTTGTAAGCGAACAGCATGGATCCTGATCAGACTGCGCGGATGCGCAGGCTGGTCTGGATCCATGCTGGTCACAAAGGCACTATGTTGGTTTTGTCGTGACGCGGCTCATTTGATGTATTTTGAGAAAGAGTACCAAGAAAAGGTCGTGTTTTAATTTGTTTTGAAGTTTCTGAAAATCTGCTGGTCTGATTTGGACAGGACTTCATACAAATTCCCACAACCAAAATTTTTTATATGTTTATTCTTAAGTGCTCTGTTATAAAATTTTATAGAAAATCAGTTGCTTTATTTTGAAAAGTAGACAAGAATCTGCATTTATAAAGATTGGTATTGTTTTTTTGGGTTTTTTTTTTTTAAGAGTGTACTTGCTGACAATAGCAAAAAATACAGTAAATTTGAGATATTGTTTGTTTGTGAAAGTCTATGAACAAATTGTTCTATACTATACATTTATACATGAATTAATAAAGGGCTATGGTTGCTAGTTCTTATCTTTTTGTTATATTTTATTTCCCCCCAAGCACCCCCCCCCCCAGAACTAAGTAAGTAAGTACATCACAGTAAAAAATTTACACAAATGGAAGGCTAGCTATGTCTTGGCTAAGTATTAACCCTTAAACTTCTGGAACCAAAAGTGATTAGCCTTTGCCACCAGTATAGAGCCAGGCCAGCCTACACCAAGTGCAGTCTGACCAGGCTCTATACTGGTGGCAGCTCAATTTTTGGGTATTTTAATATTGAAATCCCTTGAGCATGTTGAACTTTGAATGGACTGTTTCAAATTCAAAACTGGACAGATCCATTATAGAAATATAGCAGGTTAAAGGTTAATAAAGTGAAGTGAAAAAAGAATGTATATAACTCCTCATTCATGAAAGAATGCTGTCTACAGATTTTGTAACTAAATCTGCTGAATTTTAGTAATAGATTTGCCCTGATTTGAGGGATTTAAAAATCAAAATACGAAAAACTGCCAAGTGTATAATGCCAGGTAAAACTACATGGACGCTCTTTACTGGTGACAAAGCCTGATCACTTTCTGTTCTAACAGGTCAATTACGGGTTCAAACTGGTAATTTACATTAAGACAAGATTTAGAATAAAAATAACAGAGTTTCTTAAGTATAAGCTTTTATTAAGATCTGTTAGCTGTCTCCAGAAAAGAGTATAATTACTAAGAAACATTATAGTAAACTAGAGATTGTCTGCAGTACAGATATTTTTCTATACCTCTAACTTAAGGTTTTCAATCAATGCATGGTTCATATTCTGAATTCAACTTATCATTTATCTTCAAAGTTTGCATATGTTTGGAATGTTGAGTGTCATATTAAAGGAGGATTTTATCCTGGTTATATCACTACTGACCTTGTCTAGGGGTGCAATGATACAGCAAAACCCATATTGCGATAAAGTCATATTGTATTACAATACAAATATTATGATATAAAAAACATTAGAAAACCAAAGCTGCTTTTATTCTAGAAAATAATTATAAAAGCTCAATAAACTTCATGAAAAGCTTTTATATTCAAATATGGAAATAGTTATATCAAACTATTGAACAAATTTAAAATAAACACCAACCTTGTGACCAGATCATTTGATATAGAGTTTGTCTCAAGGAAGAGACTGATTGATACTGTAATTTGCAGTGCAATTTCATAAAGGTGTCAACATACGGAAATATCGCAGTACGATGGGTATGTCCAGGGTTACAAAGTGCCTAACGCTGCATAGCAGCATACCGGAAAATCATTGCACCTCTACCTGTCAAGGACAGCAACAATCTG